AAAAAAAAAGGTCTTAACATTCAGATTTTGAACCAAGATAAATCACTAGTAGTAGTCAATTAAAATAATATATATTGCACCAAAAGGTATTGCTGATGTTTCAGACCAAGACTTACTTAATCTTAATGGGCTACTATGGATTTATCTTGAACAAAAGTAGAACAAATTTTCATACTTCAGTTCTTCCGCAACAGAAGCCCCTAATATACAGGAGTGTAGCTTTATGAGATTCAACTACTTCATAACAGACATGTTAACAGAGTGACAGTCACCATTTTAAGGGAAAACAACTCTTGAATTGGTGGTAAAGGTGCCAAAAAACAGATTTTCATGGGAGAAAATGACACTTTTTCCATACCTACCAATGGTTTATGAATCTGTTTCAACATTCAAAGTAAGTTGATTGCTTTTTGTTTTTTAAAAGTCTGTTTTTTGTAATAATCTTTTAAGAGATTATTACAGCAGGTAGCCATCTATGAAGGTCTGCATGGTCTGACGGCAAGCACAGATTTTAGAATGATTGCGATAACTGCCAATTTGGTGGTAAAATGGAATTTTAAATATTTCCATGTGTTGTTTACCATGTATTTATTGTGAAATTTTGAATCTAATATGAAGAGTTGCTGTCCCTTTAACACCAATGCATAACTCACCCTAGCAGAGTTTCAATAACTTCCATCCCTTTTGATCCCAGGCTGACAGCTTCATGGAGAGCAGTATTCCCTTTACTGAAACAAACAATGCACTTGTAACCAAACATACGTAAAATTGTGCATTTAGCATTATTAATATAATAAATAAAAATTATCATACATATGCATTTCCTGTCAATTTGGATACATACTTAATAGAATTTCATTTCACGTGAATAAATAAATTTTAAAAAATCAAATTGTTGTTGAGATGTTACCAGAATTATGTTTGGCATATATACATCATTTACCAATAACATCAATTTTTGTCTGTATCATGTGTTGATTTTTTGCACAGAACAGTCTCCTGATATCACAAATTCATTTACTGTGCATACACGTCTTACTTTTACTTCTACTACAGAACACAGCACAGTTTTAAGACTAACTTTGGTCCTTTTTTGTTGACGTCTGCACCTTCCTGCACCAGGACTGGGATGACATTGGCGTGCTGGTTTGTCACAGCAACCATCAATGCCGGGTAGCCATCTTTGTTTACACAGGAGGGATCAGCACCCTGGGATATAAACAAAACAATTAAATAAATACACTTTCATCATTAATCACAACCAAATATTCAAGTTTAAGTGATTCAACTTCAGTGAAAAAAATTTAAAAAGTAAACATTCCTCTTTGTCTCTAGCCAACTTGTATATCTGTTTGCCTGTCTGTCTGGTAATCTGTGTAAGCTTTGTCTTTGTCAATGAATGTATTCACAATAATCATAAAAAACATTAAGGCATACATATTTGTTGTTTCCTTTCACTATAATCCATGAATCATCAATAACAATCCACCTGTTCACATTGATAAGCAACCAGTGCTTACATCTTCCAAGTGATCAAAAAGTTTATACTTGAATGAAACATCTGACAAGTGGGTTGACACCACAGTGGTTTTATATTAGGTTTCCTTTGTTCTTTTTCCATTAATAATATCAATATCATTGCTCAGAGTTATTTCAGGTTGATACATATTTAAAGAATTCAAGAGTAAGTCACTGTCTGAAAGCACTCAGTGCCACTTTTGTGTTCCTACCTCATCAATAAGTTGCGTCACTTCATTTACTCGACCTTGTCCATTTTTCCCTATTTCCTTTAATAGAGCTTTGTCTTCCACCTAAAAAATGACAGAAAGCAATAATCTTTCAAAAAATTTGTCACGCAGCATGTGCATGCACAAAAATGAGCACGTATGCATCTGTTTATGTATGTTTGTATAAATGCCAACAATTTGGATGGCTATGTTGATTTTTATACTTTTTTTGGAAACAATAGCGTGCATGATGTTTGATGAGTCAAAAAATCAAAGCATACCATAAGATTTGTCATATGAAAAATTGAGTAGTGTATATGAGAGAAATCTACATAGACTATGGCAACCATGTAAAAGTTTTAAACACCTCACTTATTCTAACCTTTTCTTTTTTAGATTAATCATTTTTAGATATTCAGTTGATCATATTTTCTGTCATTAAGCCAGGTAAATATTTTAAACTGTTGTATCAAAAATTTAAACTTTTACTAACAAAACACTATTTTGGGGGAAATCATTAATTCATGTTGTTCAAATCCATTGAATAAATACCCTAAGGGGCTCTGAAAGGAAAACTGACAGTTACAATCCAATTCTTACAGTGGCTGGAACATAATACATCAACTTGGTCTTATGTTCTGCACCATAACTTATTGAGAATGATCGCATACTGTACAACATCTTACTGTCACTTTTGATCATCATCTTTATGATGAAGACTAAGCCATATATAATGAACTAGCTACTTACGATCACTTTATCATTTCTTGGACTAAACAATGCTTGTCAACTTTAAGATTAAATGCCAATTAGCAGNGTACGTCCGCCATTTTTAGGTCACCGGCTTTGTAAAGCCTGGCTTAATTCGTTGAGAATGCGCTCATAGACTGCACTTATGAAAACCTTGAGAATTCTTGTTTACTGAGTAGAGACATTAACAAGATCTTCAATGAGCTAGGCTGGCTTTAATTGGTGGAAAATGATTATCACCACAGAGCTTTTCTTAGAATCATCGTTATATAGAATTAACAAGCAGAAGCAAGTTATTCATAATGATGCAAAACAGAAGGTCACGTAATACAGCAGTGCAGATTGCCAGTAAGTCTTTAGTAACTTTTTCCCTTAAAATTTTAAATGTAGATCTTTCTTACTGTAGATGGAAAGTGTAAGGTAAGAATAGAACAAACAAATATTCTAACAAGATGAAAGATGCAAACAAATTGCCATACATATGTTAAAGCCATAAAGTCTAAACCATGTATAAATGATTTTAATTCTTAAATTTGAAAGCAATTTTATTGTGTTTTTAAAGTTGTTCAAATATAAGTATATTTGGATGCTGACAAAAATATCTTGGTAGGAATATGTCTCTAGACTTCACTTTTTACTTATATAACCTGAGCAGTAATAGTAAAAAGTAAAAAAAAAACATCTTTCAAACCATGCTTGCTACAGAGGGGACATATATATATATATATATATATATATATATATATATATATATATATATATATATATTTTTTTTTTTGCCATCTGCCATTTTTTAATTGTAATAGAAGTTTTAAATTTTTCTAATATGAATGCTGAAATACACAGTAAAGCTGTCAGAAAATATTCCATTGGAAAATAATTTTTATACATAATATAATCTAACGCTTTTATTTAAATTGTTCAGTTCTCCCAGGTTGAATGTACGGATCTTTTAAAGTCTTGAACACTATGTTTTTAACCATTTAACATCGGTTAAAATTATAAGTTAAACCACATTCAATGAATATATTTTTCACATATTTTAGAAATGGTGTATTTCTAGTTATTTTCAACAAATTTCAAATGTCAAAAAGACAATTTATACCATAAAACAAATTCATTAAGGATATCAGAGTCTATATTTCAAACTCTCTTGTGTAACACGTGCCTACACAGGCCATGGTATTTTTTCCAGAGTTTACAGTTGATTAAAGTGGTTAGGGAGGTGAGGTTAGGTAATAGGTACAGTAACACTTCCACATATAGTGTTAAATTCAGATGTAGTATAGTAATTTTTTTAATCTATCAAAAAACTAAGAAAGAAACTCCCATCAAATACCAGCTAACAATGACACTGGATCTTTAGCTGTATGAATAATAAACTAGAGTTAAAGGTTTTTTTCACACTTTTTAATTTCCCATATACAGGATAGTAGTCTACTTAAGATATCATTTGCTTCATTAAATATCTAATATTGCAACATGTTTTAATTCACCACTAAGTAATACAATGTTGTATAAAGTAAATCAGAATAATAAAAACAATTGTGAATTTTGCCATTTTGAATTCTGATGAATACTCCAGGGCCCCGTAACTCAAAAGCATCACGCATTGCGACCAAGCATCTCGATTCCATATCTCACCCATACTTGCCCCATACAATACAGCCTCTGTGTGATATCGCTATTTGCAATATGCAATGCTTTTGAGTTACGGGGCATAGGTTGCTCAAATATGATAGTGTCTAAAAAAGCAGCAATTCTATCAACAGTACATGACTATAATCAATAGTATAAATTCAATCTAATAAACCATTGTTATGGAAACATATAGTATACATATGTGGTCCCCTTTGCCATACATTTTTTTTCTAAGTAAAAATAATTACTCTCCTATTAGCCTACAAGAAAGATGCTCTACATAAATATGTTACTACATGACATCGTCACACCATGACACCATACTAGTGAGAAGTACTCTAAACACAAGAAGTGAAAAGCTGTAAAACCATGCCTTGCACTGTAATAGGGTTATTTTGGTGACAATTCATGGACAAGATAATTCTTGAGAATACTCTCCATGTGCTGTGATCACCCCCAAGTTTTCCAGGTCACTGGAAATTTACTCTCTAATATTATCATGCATCTGTTTTTCCAGTAGCAGCAAAAGTAGAGCTACAACAAAAACAACATGCATCATTATCATTAATTGCTTTCATTTCAGAAGAAAGGACCAGCAACTGAGCCACCTGCAGCATTTTCAAGTATAATTAACATGGGGAACCACCCAGGTTGATACCAATCTTCTGATTAATATTATTCAAGCAGCCAATTTTTTTAAGTCCTCAAAGCTAGATCCACGCAGATTCAAGGGCTGATTACGATGCTCTGATGGGTCCAGAAGAAGATCATCAGATTCTTTTTTTTTTATTTATAAAAAAGATGCTACAGAAATGCCAAAAACAAGATTAGTTGGTTTTTTCCTAATTTGAAAAACTGAGAGCCTTGATCTGCCCCAGTCAATAGTGACTGACTGACTGCCTGAAAAAAAAAATCATGAATCAAAGTGATACATTTTACACTCCAGTCTCATCTGATCTAGACGTGATCCCCACCTGGCTGAATTTTGTTCGGATAGCAGTCATAGTCACAGTGATGCTTGTGGGCACAGTGGGTAATCTACTCACCATAATAAGTATACTAAAGTTCAAGCAACTACAAACTAAGACTAACGTCTATGTGGCCAATTTAGCCGTGGCAGATCTTCTAGTGTGTTCTGTGATGAGTCCGTATTATATTGCCACAGTGGTGCTGAGAGCTGCCCCTCCTGGATGCGCGGTGTTTGGATTCCTGTGCATGATGAGCATGTCTGTCAGTTTAATTGCCTTAGCATTAATTGCTATGAACAGATATGTCTTGATTCTGAAACAGTCCCATGTTTACGAGAAGATTTTCTCTACAAGAAATATTAAGATCAGTTTGGTTGGGACGTGGGTTTTGGCAGCGCTGGCATTGCTCCCAATTGCATCTGGTTTTGGTCAACTTGGGTACAATGTAAAATTTGGAACATGTATGATGGTAGCTTATGACATGACCACCTATCTATCTATTGTAACAATTCTTCATGTTATCGTAGCACCACCAGCAGTTATAGTCCCCATGGTCTGTTATTGGAAGATCATCAGATTTCTCAACAGCTCTAGGAGCCACCACAAATGCATAACAAGCCCCATTACAAACAATACTTCCATTAACACCACAGAAAGTAGAGAGATTTCGGAACAGGATAAGTTGATGGCAGCAGAAACTTCCACTTCATATGTCACATGTCAGGGCAACACAACAAAAAATGAAAATGAAGAAGAGTCCAGTTGTGAACAAAAGGATCAAGTTCCAGAGGAAGTATGGGTGAGGCGGGATGATTATATACCACCTTCTTCTTTTAAAGAGACTGAAACCAGAAATCAGAAACAGCAGGCAGTTTGCAAGCAAAATAAAAGAGTGGAAAGAACCTCAGAGAACCCAGATTCGGCTCAAAAATGTGCAATACCTGACAGCCAATTGAACTCAGAGACAGAAACAAGGAGTGTGTTTAGTACTGAAACATTTCTAATGAAAACAAAATTACATAAAAGAGGAACTGTGAGGGTCAAAAGGAATCAAAAAGTAACAAAAAATCTATTTGTGGTTTGGATCACATTTTTAGTGTGCTGGTTTCCTCTTTTGTCCATATATACAGTGGACATATATGGTCGTGTGCCCGGCATGTTCTATCACATCTTCTGTTTACTGGCTTATACAAACTCTGCAATGAATTCTTTTATATACGCAGGGATGAATAAACAGTTTAGGAAGGTATTTATTCGTCTCCTGCTATGCAAGGCATACGACTAAAATACTGTAAAGGAACATAATACAGCAAATGACACACAAAAAGGAGGCTTTACTATAGTCAGGAACACCCAGAGCTCGTACAGACTTGAAAAGTGCCTGAATTTAAATTTGCTCCTTGAGTTCAGTTTGTGTTCTTGAAAAGTACTTGAATTGCCTATAAGCCTTGAAAAAGGCTTGTATTCCATCATTTTTGTCCTCACTTAGCAAATTTGTCAAAAAATATTTAACTCTTACAGTTTTTAACCTGAATGCAAACATTAATTCACAGAAAGGGAGAATACATTGTTTGGACATCACTTGATTCTACTCTTTTTATGTTTCTCAGTATTTGTAAATTTTTTTATCATAAATGTGTCCAAATATAAAGTATATATTAGTAATAATGTCTATTTTACTTTGGTACATGTATGTGCATTTATAAATGACAGTAAATTGCTCTTGTTTGAGTTCAAAAGGCCCTTGAAATGGGCCATAAAAACTCCTTGAAATTCTTTCACTTTGTTCTTGATGAGGCACCACTGAATTGGTGATAAAGTCCATTAATAATCATGTAATAACACCTACACCTGCACCTATTTGTTTTCAAATTGCCTTCATATAAATATCACATCATTAGTGCACTGTAAAATAATCATTTGTCTCAATCTGAAGGAAGCTATATTTATAAAAAAAAATGAATGATAACACTATTAGTGAGCACTTAGTTTCCATTTTTAATTGTTAGATGGTGAATCAGACAAGATCAGTCCTTCAAGTCAGTTTAAAAATTAATCTCAAGTTTAAGTTAAAACAAGGGAATTAATATACCAAAGTTTACTTGAATTTTGTTCATAAATCTATATTTGTTATTTATAAATCAAGTTGTAATGTAAATGCATTTACTCTGCAAAAGTATCTCTTTTGTACTAAAACAAATATTAATGTGATAAATATACTTCTTTTCAGTCTTACTTCAGACAGTTTTGATCTAAGACTAAGCTGAAAGGTCACATGATATTAAAGACAAATCTATTTTTTTAAATAAAATTGATCAAAGATATCTTGAATTTTGTTCATATATCTATATTTTTTATTTGTATGTTGAGTATCACTGTGAATACAAAATACTCCTAAAATATTTTTTGTCATGTAAATAAAAAATTAATATGACCACTGTGTTTTTTTTTTCTATTTCAGCCCTTTTTTATGGTCAAAAAGATTTGAAATACTTAAACTACTTTTTAAGTACCATTCATTCTTCCTTCAACCTAATCTTTCTTAGCTAGTAATCAACATCAGATAAATGTTGAAAGAGACAAAATTTTCAATTAACTTTTGATTTGTTTTACTTTTATATATGTGATGTCTTTCCTCACTCATTTCACATGACTCAACAGTTTTGCATATTTTACACCTAGTTGATTAAAGGAAGCGTTGAAACTTCCAGGAAAACCAATCACAGAAAGGTCCACCTAGCTCTCACTGTGAGCCTTAAATTATAAATGCAAACCAAGGGCATATAGTAATAACTTCTTATCTATTTCACTACTTTTCTGAACAGCAATGTTCCCTTATCACAGAAGTTAAAAAACAATAAATAAATGTTGCCTAGATGAACTAAATTTTGGAAATAAGTAACCAGATCTGCAACTATTTGTACAACGGGTTTTGGCTGTTACATAAATATCACGGATCAGAGCAAATCATAAACAACTGTGAGATACTGTGTGAGCTTAGTGAAACAAGATAGAGTTCATCAGCTGTATGCAAGTGAAGTGTCCCTGTGGGGAAGGATGGTAATTGAATATGACTGACTCTTAAATGACGGTGTAGAAAACTAATACAATATGCCAATTTTCATTATCATTTGCATGAGTTTGAACCTTTAGTAAAACGGCATGACCTTTTGCAAATAATGATCAAATTGCACTTTTAATTCCTATGCTTACCGACAGCTTCTCCTCCACTTTAACAACTTTCTTCTTTTTGGCTTTTTTTATTGTCTTCCTTCCACCTTTGGTTGTGCTTCGACGGGATGCACTCCTTTCAGAAACTAAACAAGAATTTAAAATACATATACTCAAAAGGCTTGTCATTTTGGGTTGTTCCTCTTCCATATACTACACAAAGGGTTTTAAATATTAATTCCCACACTACTTATGATTTCATATATGTCACTTATGAAATAAAAAAAATAAAATGTTTCTTTACGGTTAAATAATATGAAAATCTTATATCTTAAGGTAGTTCTTTTTTATTCTACTGTTTTTTAAGGTTAAGCAACATTATATCATTTCCAATCAATACATATTTGAGAAGCGTGATATGACCCTACAAATCATTATGACCAAAAAAAAAAAAAAAATCCTCAAGGTAACATCAATAAATGTGCAGCCATTGGAAATGTTAACCACAAAATAAATTCAAAGAGATGACTACATTTCATCCTAACCTAAAGATTCCTCTTCAGTCGCGATGGAGTTGGTGCTCCCCATGATGCCATTACTCCTCCTCATGTAGGCCTCACTGGCCATCAGGTTCAGTTTATTGCCAGTGAGAGGGTCCCTGTCACCCCGCAGGGCAAAGTTCACTGTCAAGGTCAACTCATAGCCATCTTCATGGACAGATGCCGACAGGATCTTGAATATTATGAAATAAAAAACTGTCTCAGTTGTCTTCACTGCAATCAACTCTGACCCAATTTCGCTCTAATTTATTCTTAATTTTTTTTAATAATATTGAATCATACCAGTGGTCACATATGGAAGTATGATTGCTATAACTAAACAATGTATCAGTCACAAAAGTTCTCAATCTACTTTAGTGTCAATAAAATAAGAAGCTCAGTTTACCTTTTCCTTTTTATAAACTTGAAACTATTTTTAGCAAATTGCTGTGGCATATAAATATGATAATTATATTTATTGCAATTAAACAAAAAAAAAAAAAAAAAAAAAAACAATACCTTGCCCATTCTTGGCTCTCCAATTTCTGCCCTAAATTCTGCATTATTCTGTGCATACACCTTCAAGTGAGTACCTATGTGTTCCATCTGCTTTCTCCAGTAACCTAGACAAACAGGGTAACAAAACATGAGCTTAACCTAGGCTAACAGCTAAATATTTGCCAAATGCTTAATAATTATATAAAATTCCAACTTTGGCTTCAAAGATAGAAATGATATCCTTTTTTTGGTTAATTTATCATTAACCTGGCTTAAATTTGGACAAAAACAATTGTACTTATGACCAGATGCTTTTTTGTTTTCAAATTAATGACTCATCTATCTCATGATCAGGTTTTGGCTTACAACAAAGAAAAAGATGCCAGTACAACAACATATTCCACACACCTGATATCAACCAGTTTTAATTACATTGTATGCATGAGCATACTGAACAACAAAACACTTTCTCCTGTTAACCAAATCTTATTTGCCTTAATCAACTGCAAAACCTTTTCAGTGTCTGCAAATTATTTGCTTGGAAACATGGAAAAATCATTCAATTTCCAAACATCAACAAGAAAATAATTCTAAGGCAGTCAATAATCTAAATTAGTCCCCAGTCACAAACTAATGCTACATACTGGTATTGTGTTTAACTTAAACACTGCTTGAAGTTAAAAATATACTGAACATGATAATAGAGCACTTTGATGCATTTTCCCACTATTCCAGCACAGGGAATAGCTCTCAGGAAATTTGCATTCAAATGAAACTGTCAAAATGGCACAAAAATTATGGATATTGTCATTTTCTGGAATAAGGTGTAAGTAAAGTCAGACCTGAGCAATTTCACAGGCTTACATGAAAAGTAATTACCTTAGGGATTGTTGGCTGAAAAGTTTCAATTGAAGACAAGTACAACATTTTTTTTACTAAATAATGAAAACGTCTATGCCTTATTTAAAAATTCCAGTAAATTTTAAAGTTAGTAAAAAAGTAAATGGTTTCTAAAAGAGATTAAACTTTTTTTACTTATGGGGCATGAAATTTCAACCCTTCATCAAAGGGCCTTGATTACATAACAGACTCATTAACTTGAAATCAAAAAAATATTTTCTTAAGAAACAATTTACTTTTTTCACCATCTTAACACCAAAGACAACAACAACAACAAAAAAACTATTTTACTGAATTCAAAAGCCATCCCTTAAATATATACCTCTACCAGGACTGATTGCAGTCAGCAAAGGTTTCCTGTCCCTGATTTGTTTTTCCATTGCCAGTTTCTCCTCTTCTGCCAGTTGTTTCTTTATGATCTCCCTCTCAGAAGGAAAGTAGAGCCCCACAGTCTGAGTGGCCCTGGTGTCTTTTGGGATCTCCACTGGTCGTGGCATAGGAAGGCTGACTGGAAGCCATTGGGCTGACACCGACTCTCGGAATGTCTGAAAACAATTTACAAATCATTGTTAAAAAATTTTTACTAAATGCCTTTAAAAAATACACATTTTTACAATATATGAAATTTGTTTTAATAACTGTTAAAATACATAAATTAATACAACTTAAACCATAAAAAGTGTTATATCTTGTGAAGACCATGTAAGTATTGCGAAGAATCCTCATAATTCATGTTCCTTAAAAAAATGCTGTCAATAATCATGAGCACTAAATACTTTTCATCACAATATTATACAAAAAAAAAACTTCATGTTATTGAAACACTTACATCAGTAACATCTGCATGTGTAGTTCCTGTGTTTCTAAAAGAGTTAAATTAAATAAAGAACATTAAGTCAACCAACCAATGAGTTTCATATGATCTTGATTTTCTTGATAAACATGCAGTTGTTAGGGCAAGAAAGAGTAACTACAAGGGAGTGACTACACCATAGAAAAATAAACTAGATATGTACCAGTTGTGATAAAGCTTTCCAATGGAATGGCAGATCCAGGAAAGATGGGGGGGGGTTTGCAAAATAAGCCATATGCCTCCCCCCTAGCTTCTGAGGTATCCCTTCCTAACATAATTTTACAAGGCATATCCAAATACAAAGCTTGTTGTTGCATAACATATTAAAATCAAGTATAACTTGTTCACTTTTGATTAATTGCAAGTCTGACAAATGACTAAAGTAAGTTCTATTCTAGCTCATGTTTATAAATAAAAGCTTCACCAGAAGCATTTAAAATCATAAACTTTGGTTTCAAGAAAATGTTAAAAATTTTGACTTCCACTAGCCAATTCATCAACAACGTAATACAAATATCACTTAAGCTGTGTCCACAGCTTCTTTAATTCAAAAATTGGAATAACACCAGTGTGAGCTTTCTCTTACCTGGGATCAACCCTGAAAGGCGGCAGAATGGTTACACCACAGGTTCCACAGAATTTAGAGTAGCGAGGATTACTTGCATTGCACTTGGAACAGGTCAGACTTTGCCCAAAAGGAGCAGGCTAGAGAAGAAAGATGATTATAAATATAAAAAGAGAAAACAAAAGTCAAAAGACATTTTTAATGTCTAAGTTACATCATAAAGTCATGTTAAAAAATCATCATCAAAGAGTGAACATAATCTGGATGACAAGCAAAGGAATGGCACCCACCAAGACATTAACTTTATAATATAACTTTAAAAAAGATGTATTGCTTTAATTTACTTTGATAAAATACAGGTGCTATACATTTAAAAACTAGGTCACATTTGAACTATAATTATGCAATAGATTTAAAACCGGGTCATGTCTGAAAATGACATACCTTAGATCCACACCAATCACAGTATCTTGCGTCAGTATTATTAACACGCCCACATTTTGTGCAAGTCATCAACTCTCCAGACTGACTAGGCAGAGGTGGGGCAGACATGCCTGTGTGGATTGGCTAAAATATAACCAATAATAAAATTTATATTTACTAAAATTGTTACTGAATATGTATTATGCAACTGTATCTAAAGTTAAAATTTTAATGAATTAATGTCTTCTTTTTATGCTGCGTATGACAGTAATAATTGTAAAATGAAATCGACTTAAACATTTATCAACATTAAAGATCCATAACAATACGTATCTAACATTATGATAACAGTTCTAGAACAATTTGCATGTTCTACATCATTCTAATTCTGAAATTCCAGCAAAAACGAAATTCTGATAATCCACTCACTCGAGCACTTGGAAGTCTTGCCTCACAAGCCAGGCAGTTGGAGAAGTTGGTAGGGTTGGCAGTAGCACACAGTGGACAAATCAATTTGTCCTGCAGCCTCATGCTTGCTTGAGGCTGGTTCTGAGGAGGAATGGGAGCCTCACAGATAACACAGGTGTAAGTATTGAATGGCACCATGGAGTTACAGTGGACACAGCGACCAATCTGCAAAACAATAGGTATTTATACTAAAACTACTAAAACACATAAATGGTTAGTTCAGAGCTTTCCTTTACAGCTATTAAACTAAAAGATTAAGGCTGTTTTTTTTCTGGCCTATCCAAATCATCTGCCAGTGAATTTTCAAATGAAAACTCACAATTCAATATCTTTTCAATATATTCAAAATCTGCATCTAGCAAATTTTAATGGCAAAGGCGAACCTAGTTATATGTGTGACATGCTTTAAAAACTGCGAAGATTATATCTGTTTTCAGATCTTTTGAAAATACCAAGTTCTTGATAATCTTAATCCATTTCCAGTTAAACAAATCAAGAGAACAGCAAGTAACATTTATATCTACACAAAGATAAAAGAGGTATAACCATCACCTTAAGAGAAACAATAAACTATCAGCAAAAGAAATGCCAGAGGTTATTAAATCTTTTCTTTTAATATTAGAGTCACCTTTGCTCAGGGATACATAATGACAGCTGTCATTTCCAATAAAAAATCAGCAAATAACATTTTCACCAAAGGCAAAGTTCATTTTCAAAGAAATTAAAGGAACGCAGTTGACGAGCAGATTGTCTATTATTGTTATACGGTTAATTTATTTTTCTAATATCCAAAGCAGTTAAAAAAGTCAGGTCAATTATCAGATAAAAGAACAGAAACTATTAAAACAACAACAATAACTTATTGATTAAGACATCTCTTTGCCTGTATTGAAAACCATTTAAGTCCTCATTTATCCCACACATGATTTTAAAATATCCAAAAATTGTCACCTTAAAATTCAAGTACTTATACTGAGGTACATATAAATCTTTAATATAAATCATTTTTAACAGGCTCTCATATGGCTTCCAATGTTTAATATATAAGCATTTAATTGGTTTTCATTTTCATCTTTTAATGTTTTATTGTATTTATATTGAAAAGTGAAATTTCAAAGTTTTTGATGTAATTTTCAAATGAATAATTATCAATATTATAATTCTGAATGGAGAGGGAGAATAACAAAATACAGCAAGACAGTTTATAACCTGTCACATAATTTTTCTATTTGTGTGTGTGTGGGGGGGGGGGGAGGCATCTTGCTTGTTGTTAATAATTAAATATAAAAACAGCCGCAACATTTCACAGGACCATCCACTTTTAGTGTTATAATAGTTAATGATTTATCTCAGGTCAACATTGACTAAAATGTTGGTCTGGAAGGTTATACAAGTTTCTAGGCTGAACTTAATTTGTGAAACCAGTTACTGTTCTCTTGGAAATATTTCCTACTTACCTGGCCTGGTTCTGTAGGAGGCAGTCTGGACTGAGGAAGTGGTGGAAGAGCATTACCACAGTCACCACAAAATCTAACATATGGATCAGATGGACGGGGTGCATAGCAGTAAATGCACCTAGAATGAAACATTTCAATCAGAGTGTTATATTCTACTATGGCTTCATCCAAACTAAAACAGTTCTCGGTTTATTTCAGGATTTCACAATTCTTGTCAAGTTTCTGTAATTTTGCTGATTTCAAACATAATTTGTAACAATCCAGTTCTTGTGAACCTAACAGTTAATGCTATATGTTTATCCAAATAGAAAATACCACTTTTGCTGTAAGAAGAGCCTGAAGATATGACTAAACATGAAGAATTTAAAACCTAACACCAAAAGACAGTCTGGCACATAGATAGCTGCAAAGCTAATGTTTCCTTTCAATTTATACCCGACATGAAATAAATTTGTATTGTATTGTATTGTATTGTATTGTATTGTATTGTATTGTATTGTATATAAATGATAAAAACAGTTTGCAGTCACTTACTTTAAAAAGTCAGTCTCTCTTTGAAGGCGCATGGATTGTGTATAGTTATCTGGTCTTGGTCTGCTTTTCTCAAGTCCATTATACATGTCTCCTGATGCCCATACATCAGACATCTAAATATATCAAAGGTAAAAAATCCATATTAGACATTTATATAGCATAGAAAATAAATTTTCCTGGAAACTTCATAAGTTGACTTTCTCAGGAAAATTATGTTTGCTATACTAAGGTCTAAGATTTATTATGTGGTTTTAATCAAATAACAGAAAACATACTTTGTTGCCATCCTTGGTACAGTTCCTTAAATTACTGTACTAAAACCTGTACATATGCAGAACATACAATGCAATTTTAGTATTTTCTCTAGACTGAAGGTGCTTGCCACAACAACAACAAATTTAAAAAAAACATAAAAGCAGCTAACAATGCCAAGAATGACAGCCTATATTGATGGAAAAATCATGCACTAAGAAAAGCAAATCACTCACTCTTCCCACAGTATCCTGGCCTACGGTTCCCCTCTCTGTAGGACTAGATAACCTGGTGTTCATAAACCTGGGACCCGTCTTTGGTTTACGGTGATGGGAACCATTAATGTGCAGATCTAAAAATTGACAGTGAAAAATCAGTTGTAAATTGTAAATCTTGGGTCACACCAGCATACTCCATATTCAGTCAAACACTAGGCTCAGTTCATTTTAATTACACTGGAAAAATGTTACAGGGAATTGTTAGCCTTGCTTTTGAACAAAGAACGTGAATAGTAGATAGATGGGGAAGACAATTCACATACAACAGCATAATAAACCTTTATATTGTGTTATCCTTAATATCCAGTTGGATTTTATTGGTAGTCCATATCATACAGCTTCTTGTTGAAAGTATCAAAATTTGTTTGTTGGCTCTTTCTTCTATATTTACTATTAACATTCATAATTTGATGCTGAACACACATCACAGATCTTTCAAAAAAATTTTTTTAATATATATATTTTTTTTCTTCTTATATAAAATTTCAATGATTTTGTAATGATTAAACTTGCTATTCTCACCTGTCATCCTGTGCTCAGTTTCCCTCATTGTGTCTGTCTCCTCCCAAGCATGTCTGTTTTTACTACTTGCTAGTAATTTTTTCATAAAACTGCGACCAGCTTTACTCTTTGTCTTAAAAAAAATTATTTTCTAATGTTATTATCACATAAATAAAAAATTGCTTTTTGCTCAAATTGTTAGAAGCGTGAAGTATGTTTCTCCCAATTTCTTTGATAGCTGTGCAACATCATAAACTAAATTCACACCGCATAAAAGTTTCTAAGTTTAAAAAAAAGGGCAAATTCTCATTATCATAAATAAAACATTTCTCTAGTGTTTTCCAAATATGTCTTACATTCTTGTATATCACATATATTGGGCAACTTGTCTTGTAACTGACTTATCCCATGGCTAGCACTACAGATGACAGGATAACTGCAAACGTGTTTCACTTATAGAGGATGAAGTAGAGCACTATATATTACCAATATTATTTTACCAAACCAGTAGACTCTAGCAGATTCTTATGGCCGCCTGAAAAGCCAAACGGCATAGCCTGCAACTTACCCTTACTTCCATGTCATCTTGAAAGTTCTGGCCATCATCGTCTCCGCCACCAGGGTCGGGCAACTCAGGCTCAATGTATTCTACCTCAAATGTTTTAGAGACAATATTACTCTCTCTTACTCCATCCCTAGAATAGAAAACAAATATATAAATTGCAGGATTGCATTTCTATCCATTTCACTAGAATCTATTGACTACTGAACAAGACCATAGTTACAATAAAAAAAAAAGCACAGCGTGCTTTCATAACTGTTATCCAAAACATACACAATTTAATCTTGTCATTAATAAATCTACCTGAATTATAAATAAATTAAAGTCAGTCTAGAATATCTTTTATTTCTCTCTTAAGAATTTTTTTCTTTTCATTTGCTTTCAAATTGTCTTTTCTATATGACTATATGATATTTATCTCAGCTCACTTTGATACAGCCATAGCCTTTACTATTACTTTCCCAGCTGGAAGAGTGAAAGGTTTCTTATACTTCATGGTCACTCTGTCTCCTGTTCCCAGGGGTTGAAAAGGGTCTGGCTTGGAGCCATTCAGAGTGTAGTATATATCAGTATTGGTTGTAACTGAAATACATATTTTGTAAGAAAAATGATTAGAAAAATGGCATGCGAATATACAGGTAAAAAAGAAAAGAAATTTAAGCAGGGGCCCATCAAGACAAACAGACGCTTAGTAAAAAAAGTAAATCCAAAGTTAGTCCAATACCATGAATTAAATTCTCATCAAGATTTCAACAAGCCCTTGAGTCTGCAGTACCTTCAGAGCTCTTTCAATGTCTGCTTTTCAAGTAAACATACCTGAAGCCAGCTCTATCTTGGTATCACTGTCCACTGCATACTTATGCTGCCCTGGCTGTGGTGGCCTTAAAGGGACAATGGTTGGGGCTGCCACAGAGCCTGCAGACATTATGGCGGTTTTCTGCAAGATATATATATGTTTGATTATTTTACATATTTCACATAAGCATGTTAAAAAAACATTTCTTAAATGATGCTTTTAAAAGTCTCATTTGAACATATTAGAGGGGAAGGCAAAGACAGGGTGCGTTGAAGAATTCAAAGGTTAATAATAAGATGCTCTGTCTGACAAATGATTGCACATTCAGATACGTAATTAAATGTCTCGGGGATTCCCATGCAATGCTGCCTTGGGAAATTAAAAAGGAAATGTGGTGGGCTGGTTAAAGAGCCTGTCTGTATAGAAAAGCTACACATAATGTAACACACTCCGACTGTCAGTGACACTGCGCATCCTAATTTCAACTGTAAATCCACACCTTTTGATTTGTAACGTCGCCCAAAAAGCATTTTCCAAATTCAAGTTTTCTCATAAAGGATATTTTCAAAATATAATGTTAAAGCAATGAAAACTACCATACCTTTTAAAGATTTAACGAAACACCTTACCTGTTTATGTGTGTAAATAGTAATTCAGAATTCCTGGCAACTGCCGCCTATCCCAAACAAAAAGACGGCATATCATTGGTTAAAATATTTGCAAAAAAATCACACATGTCAGGGAAACGCCAAAAGATATCTATATGATACGTACACTGTAGAAAAACGCTTTATTCCTTTTAGTCAATTAAAATTATTGGCAAATTCCAATTTACGATCAAACAATCTTCACTAATCTTGAACTTCCTGTTGAATATTGCAACCAATCAGGTGACGTGGTTCAAATAGACTAAGGGAGTTACAAATAAATACATGCAGAGCAGATGCCCGGCTTGAGGGTAGACGATGTCGTCAACAGCATCTAGGTTTTTTCTTGCGGGCGCCATATCTTTTGCAGTCGGGTGCTCTATTTTTGTTTATTTTTCGGAATCAGAAGCTAAAGCAGTGAGTCAATGAATTACACCTTTAAGGAAATAGACTTTACATATATCAGCAAACTAAGCTTTTCGGTACAACTAGTACTACCAGTAGTAGTACTTATGCAACCATTGGCATCTATATCACCTGACCATGTGTCTCCAAAACACATTATACATATATAGTTATACATGTAACTTTTTTGTAAGACCAGTCATGGATTTTCGATATTTTTCAATATTTATTTATGTGGTGACTTTAGTTCCTTCTGCTATTCAAATTAGTTTTTCAAATTTATTATTCTATGTTACCTCTGAAATGATCCCCTCTTTCTTGACTTTTGAACATAAAATAAAACGACAATTGGCTTTTCAAACTTTTTCATTTGAATATTAGAAGTTTTGACGAAAGTCATCTTGAATTTCCCCTGGCATGTGAACATCTAACATAACATAACATATAACAAAGGAGACTTGTACTTTTTAGAGACACGTGTATAATGTACTGCATACTTAAAATTTTTTTTTTGGGGGGGGGGGGAAAGAGAACTTAATAAAAAAAAGCTATGCATAGCCTTAACAGGCCTATTAACCTATATGTCAAAGGCAGGGATGTTTTAGAACAACTGCACTGATTTGGCATAGAGCTTAGACCAAATTTCTTAATTTAGGATAACAGATCTATTCAAGTGACAGTACTTAAGTCGTCATGTTTTGCTCATTTCTAGAGAAGAAAAGCAGGTCCCTTGAGAGATTTGGAGAGGCAGAATCGAAAAAAACAAAATATTGTGGCATTACAGGAACAGCGAAAGTTGCAGGCAAAGTTAGAGAGGGCATCACAGGAACAACAGGCATGTATAGAATACATTTGTGAGCCACAATGTGTAGCTACAATATTCTGCACCTGTAAAGGAGAGGGGGCTAGGGGGGAAATGATTATATTATTTGCAAACACCATGTTTGATGTGTGTGCAAATTAGTTCAGTATGAAAATAGGATTGTAACAAAATTATTGAATGAAACTTCGACATCTTTTATCTTAAAAGGCATTAACAAATGCTTTGAAGTTTTGTTTAAGGTGTGTCAAATCAATTTTTTGTCATGTTTTCAATTATTTACTTTTTAGGATAACAAGTAAATGACTTGGGATGAAAAGAATGGCAAGTCAAGGAGACATGGTGTTGAGTTTTCATGACAGTTTGCTCAGGACGAGTGATGTGGACACTTTGGTGCCTGGAAACTGGCTGAATGATAACATTATCGCATTTGCTTTTGAATATTTTGAAAAAGTACAATTCAAGTTGCATGAAAAGGATGTGTCATTTATCAGCCCAGATGTTACCCAGTTTATTAAACTTAATTGTGGTGATGAACTTGGGATATTTTTAGAGCCGTTGTGCTTGACATCCAAGAAATATATTTTCTTGGTTGTTAACGATGAGAGTTCAGCAGCTAGAGCTGGAGGATCACACTGGAGTTTATTAATGTTTTCAAGACCAGAAAATACTTTTTACCACCACGATTCTTGTAACAAGTCCAATACTAAATCTGCGAAAGTTGTTGCTATGTCTATAGAAATATTTCTCAGGGCAACTAGAAAAGTACAGTTTAAAAATGAAGAAAGTCCACAACAGGAAAATACTTGTGACTGTGGAATGTATGCAATTTGCAACACAGAGCTTTTGTGTAAGAAACATTTAGATGAAGATGAAGTGGATTTAATTAATACTATTACACCAGAGTATGTGACTAAAAAGAGACAAGAGATGGTGAATCTGATTCATAAATTGGCAAGCACCTCTAAATGACATCCACAGATGAACATTTGATAAATGCAAATAAAAACATTAAAGTACAACCCTGGCAATGAAACATACAAAATAATGGAAGAGTTTTCAGACAAAAATTTATCAATATTTCTTCAGCCCATTTTCAATAGTTATTTAAATGTCTAGGGTTTGGGGCAATTTGCTAGTTCATAAGATGATGCTCAATGTCATTTTTTCTTCATCTATATTTTCGAAGTCAAATATTGACAACCTAAATAAAAAGTGCTCTTATATTGAAAAACCTTGCAATAAAAGTACAATATTGCTGGTGTCAGAATGTCAGCACTTTTTATCAATACTCAAAATATGAATAACAGAAATAATGTCTTAAAGAAACAATAAACATGTTTATGAAAATATGAATATTAGAAATGTGACATAATGTAATTTGATCATTTGAGTGAATTCCGAATATAATTTTAACAGTCATTAATAAGTTGGTCTTGAAGAAGTACAAGTGTTCAGAATTGAATTTGCATAGTAAATAAATGTAGTCTAGCTTAGCTCTACATTATATTGCCCTTCTCCTTTGTATTTCCTGGCAAGTTGGAGAAAACCTGTGAAGTTATCTATTGATGCCAGGCATGTTATTCAGGTAAAATTGGTCTAGTGCAGAAAAGGGTCCATATGCAAACTGAATTCAATACATATGTACCCCGTTCACACTACGCTCAGTTATCCGGATAAGTTGCGAATTAGGTCACAATTCGAATAAATGCAGTAGTGTGAACGCAAGAGGATTTTGAAAATGCGCATTTTCAAAATCCTGCAAGCGAGGTGGATTTCTAAGCGCGATCCGGATAACTTACCGGAATCGACACCTGTACAGATCTTACTGCGCATGTGTGCAGATAAGTGCGGGTATCTATGAACGCTGGTTTATTACTTTAGCGATTGCACCAAACGTATTTGGAGGCCACCACTCACTACAACATGAGGAAACAAACTTATTTTGCCACCTTATACTTCTCAAGAATGCTGGAATGTCTTTTGAGTTGCATTTGCCGTCACAAATTTTTGTTGATATTTTAAGATTTCCTGTGCGGCACATGCGCGAGTGTTCAAAACAGGAAGTTAAACCTGAAATTTTCAACGTGGGATTCGGATTCGCTTAGCGAGTGTGAACGCAATACCGAATCGGATTCCTTACGAAAAATCCGAATTATAGAAATGCGCATTTTGGCAACTGTAGTGGGGTAATAATGATAATCTTTAAAATCCAGCTTTACATTGGCATGTTGTGAAAGATCCCTTCTTTATGCTTACTTTTTCCACTTTCGTGTTCCCATGTCTCTTTCTTTGACAGCTTGTTTGAAACCCACTTGGTTGGTCCTCTCTTGGAAAGCGGCACCTTCTGGGCTGTGTCTGGTCATCCCATCAAATACCGAAGCAAGCCTCTGTGAAGCAAACAATCCCATTTGTTCAACAGCTTGATTAATAACTTGTTTTTGAAAAAACAACTGGTTAGTTGGGACAGACTTAATTCTGTCTACAAAGTTATTAACAGTGTCATCAAGTTTATCTGCTTGTACGCTTTTTCCAACTAATCCAATTTTTTCGGCTTCTACTCCATTTATAAGATCCCCTGTAAAAAGCATATATTTTGCTTTCTCTAGCCCAATTCTGTAAACCCACATAGCTGTGGTGGGGCATCCCCACACTCTAGCAGGGGGGTAGCCTATTACTGCATCATCTGCCATAAAGATATTATCACAACACAATGCAATGTCACTACCGCCTGCAATTGCATACTTCTCAATTTTACAAACAACAGGTTTCAGACTTCTCCATAATGACATGAAGGCAAATGTGCACTCTGACATGAGTGAAAAGTCCAGATAAGGATCCCAAGGCATGGTTTGACTAAAAGGTGTGGTTCCACGCTCTGGTTCTGCAAATATCTTCAAATCATATCCTGAGCAGAACACTCCATCCTTCCCAGACAACACCAGTACCTATATTAAAGTTTTAAAAAATTTATGATTAATATTCAAAGTAACAGTAACGTATTCAAAATGTCAATTTTTATCCATAAACCTTCCCAATCAAGACCAGTTTCATTAAGTTTAAAGAAATTAAGTTAACTTTATGAATAATAATTTAACTGAAAATTTTCTAATTTTAATACCATGTACTAGTATTACTCTCTTACTTTGAAATTGAATTTGATTTTCAGCTGATAAGTATTTTTGCAATACAAACATTTTATTTGGATTTTCAATAAAAATGCTCTTTCTGTAAAATAAATTCATAGAAATACGAGACATGCAGATGCCACGTCATACGTGTATGCCTAATCATTGCAATGACCTTGAAAGCTAACTAAAGACTCAACAACATACATATTTCCAGACACATGTTTATACCTTTACATTCTCATCCCAATTTGCCAGTTTCACAGCATCTTGAATTTCCCCAGGCATGTGCATATCTATAGCATTCAAAACATGTGGTCGATTCAACTGAATGTGGGCAACCTCATCCTTTACATCATAAGCAACACTTTTAAATGAATCTGGATCAATTTTGTTTGAACTGTGGAAATATTTCATTGCATTTCCTAGCACTGTTTGATGTTTTAACCACAAGGGTATTTCCCTTCTCTGCCTTCTCAAGCATCTGGCAGCCAAGAACATGGTGAAATCTATCTTGTAGTCCAAGCAAATGCAGGTGTTTACAGTGGATCCCTAAATGTTGTCCCCGTAGCCAGTGCAGTGCCTGCCTGGTATATGCTGTACCTGTTCAAAACATTTCCAGGTAAACAACAATTCGGGCACTGGGTCAGAAATGAATGACTCCTTAAAACAATTACTTTGAATTTGTTATCACAAATGACAATGTTAGTGTTTTTGTACAGTAAATAGAGATAATTTGAATGGATTTATTAATGCAGATTGTATATTTACTTGGTTTCCACTGGAAGCAATAATCCTTTCACTCACCTGTCCAGCATTGTCAATTAGAACACATTTTTTCAAAATAATACCAGTATATAAACTGTTGGTATTCAATTCTGTTATTATTTAAAATTAATTAAATAATTTACATGCGTGTCCACTTCACGTACATGTATACATGCTTTCTTATTTTAGATTATTAGTTATCCAGTGGGAACGACAAAAATATGAGTTCTTCTTTATTAATGACTGTTTCCGTACCCTATCAAGGCCACAGCTAGAATAAGACGACTCCCGTTTACATACTAATTCACATACATGTAATCATCAAAACCAGCAATATTACTCTTCTGTACGTACAAATTATAATCTAAATTTCCCCGCCATTCCCTCTTCCTCCCCCTTCTGTTTTGTGGTGCTTCCTACATTGTTTTTTCGTCTTAGTCTTTCCATCCCCCTATATAACTTACACGGTATTTTTCAATGAATACGTTCAAAACAGAAACCTGATAAACCAAAACCTCTTTCGTGCGACGGGACTCGTTGACTCGCGAGACAACAAGAAGTGATACCTGGATTGGTATCGAGGCCTTACTGTGGATAAATGATATCTCGCTATGACGCTCGAGAAGTAGTGAAAACGAGGTTAAATCATGATCTGAGGCCAGCACGTTAGAGTAAGTGTAATTATTAGAGAAAATGTTTCCCGGTTGGCAACAATGGGGTCAAAACATGACCGGGGTGAATCCTGCTATGGCCAACGTCCAGCCACAGATGCAGATCGGAAGTTTTCCTCAACAAATGTACTGGGGGTACCAGCAACCTCAGCATCAACAATGGCCAGGGACACAGCCGCCAATGGCATCTGCCGGTGGAGCGCCCGGTCTCTTGGGATTTGGACCTCCCGGACAACAACTGAATATACAGCCAGGACAACAGGGTATTCCTGGATATGGTGGCATGACACCAGCACCCCCTGTTGAGCCTCCGAAGGAAGAAAAGCCCCCACTCCCCCCAGAGCCCCAAGCACCAGAACCTCCTCCACCACCAGCTCCTGAAGGGGAAGAGGTAAGATTTTATTATCTCTGTAAAGTCTGCAGATTATATATTTGCTTGTCTAGTTGAGTAATGATGGTGACTTGAAGTAATATTCCAATCCAAATGCTTTTTTCACATAGAAGCAAGTTTAACAAAGAGAACTTAAAATTATCACTAATGTTAACAACCGAGATTGCCCAGGGTTTCATTTTGTATCTCCTAACTTTTAAGTTACTATTAAGAAGATTGTTCAATCTTATTTTACAATTTGTTTTATACATTTTCATTTAAGTGAAACAAAAATTTCTTCTTGTAAAATTAGCACATTTCATTTTTGCCTTTATAGAATCTTGGTCCAAAAGATTCAAGAGAGGCAGAGAAGTTAACCAATTTACAACAGCAAGCTCAGCAGTGGCAAAAACAGAAGCAGTGGGAAGAATATACACAAAGCTGGTACTCCTATCAGCAACAGATGCAGCAGTATATGCAAAGTTAGTTTCATCATTACAATACACTGTATAATGCTTGTGTGTGTGGCGTGAGTCGAATGTTCTGTTGTGTGACTGCAATACTTTGATTGCTCTCGTCTTTTCAAATACACATTAATTTGAGGGACTAAATATTTGTTGCAAAATTAGGGCCTGTGGGTACTGTTGTTTTTTATGGTTTCTTAAAGTGAGACAATATAGTGAGGTTTTATTCAGTCAGTCTTCTATCAATATTCATCTTTGTACTAAATATGCTTTTCGTTGGATTGGTATTTTTTATAATTTTCATTATTATTTTTTAAAGACCACACAATGGATGACATACTAAAAGAAGAGCAGGAATTCAACCAACAATATAAAGATTGGAAGCAGCAGTATGAGGATTGGAAGGAACAAAACAAAAGTATTGATTTACAATAGAAATTTATAACAATAATTGTTTTTCTTGATTACGTATTTTTATACAACATAGAAAATAGTGTGTTGACATTGATAATGCTTTGATAATGATACAAAATCTTTGATTTCAATAATCTTTTTTATTTTTTTTATTTATTTATTTATTTATTTATTTATTTATTTATTTATTTATTTATTGCAACAAAAGAAAAAGAACTTAGTGAACAGGTGTCTGTATGAGTAAACTTGTATTTAATAGTATTAAATGATTGCTTTTTGATCAGATCACCCGAACCAAGAACAGTATCAGCAATATGCCAATCAATGGAAGGAATATGAACAACAAATGGAAGAAAAACGTCAGGAGATTGGACAGAGGAAAGAATATTTTGAGCAACACCAGGGAGCTCAAAAAGGTGAACCTGGAATGCAACCAGGTCAAGTACCACCAGGTCAAGGTCACCAAGGTCAAGGTCAGTTCAATCAAGGACCCCCACAGGGAGATGGCCAGGGACCTCCTCCAACTCCTAATCAATTGCAGAATCAAGGTAGATTCCCTGGACCAGGAAATGAAAGATTTATGGGGCCACGCCCCCAGGAAGGGAGGGGTTTAGGGCCTAGAGGACCACGCTTTGATGGCCCTAGAGGAAGAGGAAACAGGTTTGGTGGCCCTGGAAACAGATTTGATGGCCCAAGGGGAAGAGGCAGGGGTCAAGACCAGACAAGATTTGGTCCTCCCCAGCAGCAGGGAGGTCCTAGGTTCCAAGCACCACAGCAAGGACAGCAACAGAAGTTTCCTCCTTCAGGGCAGCAGCAGAGGTTTCAAAGTCCAAATGAACAACAGAATTCTGATGCTAATTTTGATGATCAAATGGACATTGAGGATGAGAATGAGACGCAAAATGATGTAAATCAGTCTGGTTTAGGACAGTTTCAGCATTCTCAAGGTCCTCAGGACCAGCATATGTTTAGAGGTCCTGGACAGCAGGGGCCTAGAGGTCCAAGGGGTCCAGGCATGCAGGGACCAAGAGGACCTGCTGGACCAAGAGGCCCTCAACAGCAAAGACCACGTGGGCCTTCACAGTTGGGGCCTAGAGGACCTGTTCAACAAGGGCCTAGAGGCACCATCAAACAAGGACCAAGGGGTCCTAACCAGGAAGGCCCAAGAGGCCCTAGAGATCCTACTCAACAAAGTCAAAGAGGCCCTAGGCCTAGGGGACCTGGTCAACAAATGTCCACTAGGCCAGGGGCGCCAGGGCCTAGAGGACGTTTTGAGATGGGCAACAAAGGTCCGAGATTTAGTGCTCCAGGAGGACCTAGATTCCAGAATGCTAATCAGATTAGTGCAAGTCCTGCTGAAACACAGAATACCAAAGGTGCTGCACAGCAGGCACCATCAGGGGTGGTTTCTCTCTTGGACTTAACATTTGATGAATCAAAAATGAAGGCATTAAATAAGAAAAATGTAGGTAGTGAACAGCAGAATTTAAGTGAAGGAGGTAGTGGACAGCCTCAGAGATCTGGTCCCCCTGGCAGAGGGCCAGGTGACAACCAGCAAAATAGAGCGCCACAAGGTGGACAAGGAAATACACAGACTGGCACTGTACAACAGAGGCCCAACCAAAATCAAAAAAATCTAAACCAGTCTGATTCTCAGGGGCAAAACGAAAATAAGTCAGAAATGACGAAGTCTAAGGATAGCACTGTGAAGAATGGGTTAGTTTTGCATAGAGTATTTACCATTTTTCAGTGTAATTTACTGCACATATTGTATTGTTTTTAGTTTATTTCTTCAATACTAGTGATGTGCATTGATATTGTAAAACTCATTTTTCTCTGCCATTGTTACTGCTTGCATATTTGCTGTATACTTATTAACCAATGTCTTATTTTACAGGTCTGGAGGAGCAAATCCTGTGGCTGCTACCGGTGTAGAGGTTCCAAAGGTATCTTCATTTTAAGTTATTGTATTATTTAACTGTGGCACAGTGTTAAAGAGGCATCTAGAACTTAGTACAAGCATGTTTTTCTAGTTCTGTAAATTCTCCCACAATATGAAAAATTATGTCAAAAAGCTGGGGTGATGCTAGCTTTTTTTTTTTTCGTTTAGCTATAAATTACTACTTTTTCATCACTTTTTTCTCCAAATGGTTTAAATTTGACTAAAATAAGTCAAGTTAACCCTTTTTTGTTTAGCCAATAGTCAGTTTTAGCATTTGGCTAAATTGGCCAGTGTTAGAGCTACCCCAGTAAGTGTCCTTTTTAATGAACAATGTCAGTAATATAACCATTCATTCTGGACTTTAATACATCTATAATTTTTTTGCTTATAGAAATTAAAGTCTGTTCTAAAATTCATTGTTGTGACTATTTTCAGTTGTCTCTCTCAGAAGAGCAGCATGCATTAATCAGGAAGGCTGCAGAAGAGATCCAGTTGAAGGGCCTTTCAGGGATCACCACTTTTGTAGGTGGAGCCTCTGCACAGGATGATGCACATTCCTCTGACCTGGCTGATTTACCTTATGCTGGAGATAGGAATGTAAGTTGGAGGTTATTATTAATAAATTGTGAAGAATTAAAAATATCCTTTGACCAGTTTGTATATAAGTTTTATTTTGATTCTCTTTTGAAATGATCTCAGTAAATGTCTTGCTCTGCAAACCCTTTTTTATGTAAACTGACTTATTTTGATTGAATTCTTGTATGATGCAAATCATTTTGGCACTTCAGATCACAGAAGGAGGTTTTGGTGCTTCATACCGCTATGATGATGTTCCTGGCAGATATGAGGTTCAAGTCAATTTTGCTTTGATGTATTATGATGAGCTTCAGTTGAAAACTCATTCAAACTCATTCAAACTCAGAGACATTTCTCTCTTTACTTAGATTTAGTATAATTGGTTTAAGTTCTAGTTAGATAGTTACATGTATGTGGTTTAAAAACCCAGAATTTGTAAGTCTGTAATGACAGTTCTTGGTAAGACATAAGGTAGTGCAGTTACATCAGTAAAAACTGCATTCTTCATATTGGCCCTTATACCTTTAAACTTGATAAATTTACATTATTTCATTTATTTACTTTTGATTTTTGCAGGATGAAAGGCATGGTTACTTACCGCCAAGAGACTTACCAGAAGACGTATATCGGAGACCACCTGGGAGGGATCCTTATGAAGACGACTTATATGGTCGTCCCCGGTTACCTCCTCCTCCCCATGATCCTTTGTTCGATGACTTGAGAAGAGATCCTTATGATAGGAGAGGCCCACTATACGATCCATTAGGACCTCCAAGGGGAAGGTACATTCTCCTTGAACTTTAAACATTATCTCAATATTCATCAGTAACATATGATTTAGGAACACTGTGAGAATTACGTCGTTATATTGATAGCAAAAAAAATATTTTTCTGGTTATTTCAACACTTTCCCTAAATCACCAAGGTACACCTTATACAAAACGGTTCTCAGAAGTCTAATCAATAAACCCATATCTGAATTTAAAGATGCTAGTCTCTGAGTCTTGTTATGGTGATAGATTTGACTGGATGCATTCAAGGTTAGAAATTTAGAACTCCAAAATGGATTTATGGATCGTCATGTTCTCAACAGGTGCTAAAATTTGGATTTAATTCATGGCTATGTTAAATTCTAATGTATGTTTCATGCTTTTATCTTAGTGTATTTGTTCTCAAATTATCATTATAAAAGAAATCTTAATTGTGTTTTATCTCAATGGAGTTGAAAAAAGTACATTGAATAAACAGGTCCTATTGACCAGGTGTACATGATTCTTTTGAAAGTGTCGGGCTGAAAATACCTTTAACCTCTGTGTTTGCCTTTCAGAGAATTTGATAGACTCTTGCCACCTCCACCAACAAGGGATAGATTGCTCTATGATGAGTACAGATACAGAGATCCATACAGGTATTCTCCACTGCCACGTCCACCACCAACTAGAGGTAAGATATGACGTGTGATGCTATATTTACTTTGATTTTATTCCTTTTGGTCAGAACAGTTTCATTTTTTTTATTCTGTACATTCCCAAGACTCTGCTCAGTGTGCTTAAAACTTCTAAATTTTGACCCAGTGCATAATTGATCTTTCTGTTGTAACATTTAACAATTATGTGAGGTTAATTAACTTTTTCAGAAGGAGACACACTATTATAAGTAAAGGGTTTCTTGTCCTTCTTGATTGTGTAAAATGACAAGAACAGACATGACTATGTAACTGTGTTTACTCTAGGGCTTTGGTTTCTATTTTTTGATAACCAGATGTCTATGTCAGTCTATTATTTTTTTGCACAACCTGATATAATGTTTTTTATCCTTTACACCATCAGGTTATGGTTATCTCCCAGCACCCCCTCCTCTGCCTCCTCTGGCACCCAGGTCTGCTCCAGAAGTTATTGACTATGGGCATCAAGGCTCTGTAATGAAAGAAAAAGGTAAGAGATTGATTATATAATCCATAATGTAAGTTATATTTACCACAGTGTTTGCAAGAGTCCTTTTTTTTTTTTTGTAATAGAAGTATTATATATATATAAATTTTTTTTTGTAATGGAAGTATTATAGAAATATCATGTAAAATAGTGTGAATCAATATATAAAGTTGTTGATTTTTGCCATATAATTAATTTTAATTCACTTATTTTGCAATTTCCTTGCCAATTGGCATTATTGTATTATAACCTTTGGGCTTATTTACTATTCTTTCGTATTTCTACAGAAAAGGAAATAATAGACTATGGCCATGGGAGTGGTAGTGGAAGCAGCACTGCTGTGGATGATTATTTTTCCAAGGAGCTTATAAGAGAGAGAGGTATGGACTAGTCTAGTGAGATAAGATACAAAAATAAATTAGGTTGATAATTTTGAACATGATTCTGCTCTATATATTGCTATAATATTTTACAGATTATATTAAATTTTAGTTTTGGAAAGTCTATATGAAAAAAAAAACTTGAAAATTATTTATTGTTCTCTAATTTATAAAGGACTCTGTGCAATAGAAATAAAGATTATGAAAAAATGCCTATTTTTTGTTCTTTGTAGATGACCCTTACTATAATAGGCCATTAGATGATCGGTTGTCCAGAGATATTGACCGGGGCAGGCCCAGGGAGAGAAGTAGAAGTCGAGAAAGAGACTGGGACAGACTACGAGATAGGGACAGAGAGAGAGACAGAGGAAGAGAAAGGAGCAGGGAGAGGGATAGGAGTAGGGAGAGAGAGAGAATCAGAGATATTGACAGAGGCAGAGATATTGATAGAAGTAGAGATCGGGATAGGTACACAAGAGACAGGTAAGATCTGACTTGGCTATCTGTCTGCATATATGCAATCGGATAATATTTTTATTACTTTTGTTCTACCACTTCTCTGTGAACAATGTAGTGATGACAGATTACATAATCTTTTTTTTAGAATTTCTTTATGAAATGAAGTTTCTCTTTCCAATTTTGTGAAAGAGATTAACATCATGCAAAAATAGTGTAAATACTTTGTACAGGTAGAAACCCAGAAATGTACATTATCACTTGTTCAGTGTTGTATTTGCCTACAATTACTCTTCTATCCTGTGAATTGCTGAATGATGCATATATTAATTATATTATGATAACATTTAATGAAAAGTATATATTTGGACAGGCATGCAGCAAGCTTGAGACCACCAAGGGATCCCTATCCTGCTCCAGGCGAAAGAAGTACTTCTTATGGTCACCATTCTTCACCTGTACCCCATAGCGTAAGAGATGAACCAAAGCCAGAGACAGTGAACATCATCGATATACTGTATAACCCCGGCAGAAAGACCAGACCTGCTAATATTGTTATTATCCTGCGAGGTCTGCCAGGGTCTGGGAAGACCTATATCAGCAAATTGATCAGGGTAAAGATTTTACCATCTTCCAGTGCATGAATTGTTAATGTTCTCAGTCAAAAAGTTTGTGGCTGTGATTGTCCTTTGTCAATCTAGGTCACAGTTTATTAAGTCTCAAACGCTTGGGCTCTTTGAGTGCTTTGTTTGCTGTGTGTGTATAATAGAAGTATTCAGTTTTATTCATTTGTACTATTTAGCTGGGTATCCTGTGGTTAGTAGGTATTGCTTTTCATTTTTAAAGGATATTGATCTGAATGCAAAGTTGGTTCTGAAAATATAGATATTTTTTGAGAGTATAAAACCAGTTGAGCCAAAAGATGTATAATTTTTTAACTCCACTGAATATGACAGATTGGTATGTTTTTACATAGGACAAAGAAACTGCCCATGGAGGCCATGCTCCAAGACTACTGAACCTGGATGACTATTTCATGGTGGAAGTTGAGAAGACAGAGAAGGATCCAGAAACAGGCAAGAGAGTCAAGGTAAAGGTAAGAGGGTTTTTTTTCCAGAAAATTAAAGATACTTTGTTATTCAGATATTTTTATGGTTCACATATTGATTGCTCTACTATTGAGTGGTCCCTACCTTGCCTTTAATCTTTGCCTCCTTCATAATTGATATTTTGTTTAAGTCTGATATTTTTTTTATTATATTTGCCATGGCTTCATCTCTATATCTTAGGTGATGGAGTATGAATATGAGCCAGAATTGGAGGAAAGCTACAGGCAGAGTTTGTTAAAGAGTTTCAAGAAGACCATAGATGATGGATTTTTCCCATTCATTATTGTTGATGCTGTAAATGATAGAATACGATATTTTGAAGAATTTTGGAGTTATGCCAAGTCAAAAGGGTTTCAGGTAAGATATTTTTTTCATTCCTTTTTCATTCTAATCACAGAAAATATGTTACAGAAAAAAATAACACATTTATTGTTGATACTGTTATGTTTTTTTTAAAGAAACGTTTGTTTGATTCTTACTTTAAAAAATAACCTTTTTATTTTGTTTTTCAGGTGTATATAGCTAGAATAGAAGGTGATGTTGCAACATGTGCCAAGCGGAACACATACAACAGAACACAAAAAGAGATACAAAAGGTTTGCAGGGTTTTTAGCACTACTAAATCACTACTAAGTTATACATAAAATGAATACCAAGTGCTTTTGGTCCCAGAAGTTATTTTACCCTTTTTTTAACTTAAAACATCTTCTTTTCTTTTAATTTTAACATATAACAGTCAAATTCTGAAGTCCAAGATATTGATTAAGTGAAAATGCCCAAATAATTCAAAACTTATACATGGAATTTAACAAATGTTATCCCTTTTTCTATGGACAGCAGGATAGCATTGTAATCTTCTTCAGGTTTAGGTAAAGCTTTTGATAAGTGTATTTTTGTATGTTTAAGCTTCTGGACAGATGGGAAAAGACACCTTCTCACTTTCTCAGGCTTGATGTCAGGCCACTGCTTCAAGAAGGATCCATTCAAGAGGTGAGGTGGAAAATATTTCATTCTATCTGATTAAGTAATTTTTGCCTCACTAATTACAGAAGAAAAGTAATTTCTCAAATGTTTTTTCAAATAGACATGTTTTGACTGCAGCAAAGATATCATTATTTGAGCATAAAACACAAACTGTTGAAATTACTGAAATTTCATTCAGGTCGAAATGGAAGATTTTAGTGAAGAAACAACCAGATCTGATGTTGCATCACAAAAGAAGGATGAAGAAGAGGAGGAAGAGGAAGTTTCAGGGGTATGCCTTTTGCCAAATACTGCAACATTATCTCTCACAGGCAGGGTGACCATGTATTTCCAGCCTGTCTTTCCATGAGGCAGAGAAGTTTGTGTATGCCATGGCTCACAAAGAATATTGGAACTAGCCCTAGAGATAGTTTTATGTATACAGGGTCACATAATTATATTGGAATTATTCCTAAAATAGTTTAAACATACAGTAGCTCACAGAAGTTTATTGAAAATAGCCACAAAAGAGCTGTCCTTATATGCACTAGGTCAGAAATATATTCCCCAAACTGTTCCCCCAACAGAAGGAGTCCTTCACAGAATGTTTCCCCAATCCTTAAAGATCTGGCAATCCTACAACATAATTCAGAAAGCGTACCCTATTTTTCTTAGAAATATATGGGATGATGTTATTATTATTATTATTTTTTTTTTTTTTNTTTTTTTTTCATTTTTTTTTTTTTGATTTATTTTTTATTTATTTTTTTTTTAATGGGGGGTATAGATTTAATATAAGTAGCACTAAACTGGTCCCAAGTGCTTGTATTTTTGCTTAGATCAGGGTAGGGGGATAAGAATTTTTTTCACTGATGGTGTGGTGAGTATACAGGTTTTATTGAATATGTAAATTGGGTAAGGGACTGGGAGCTTAGAAGAATGTGAGATAGAAATGTAAGTATAACAATCGTACTCACTGTTGGTAAGTATGCTAGGTTTTTCACCATATCTATATTTGCAAATCAGGTAAGAGACAGGTAACTGAGCTTGTGAGGAAATGGCAGAGAACGGAAATGATGGTAAGTAGAAGTTTAACTATCTTCAAGAATTATGAAGAGTCCAGGAATGCAGGTATTCAGGTAGAGTAAAATTGATCTTTTTTAAACCACATAAAGGTCTTTTTCTTAGAGGAGGCCATGTTTCCCTAGACTGAAAGCCCCAAACAGTACCCAAAACAACAGATGATATTGGTTTCTCCTCTCTCATACATTACATTGGTTTGATCATCACTTATTATGAATGGCAACAATAACAATGGGTCTTCTTTTTACAAATACAGTATTTGATACTGGTTGCTGCTGGATAAATTGTTTAATATTATTATGCCAATGACAAAGCAAGCCCTGTCACATATTATACCCCATTCGCTCTTCTCTTATGTTAAAGTTTTGAGTTTGATATGTACAAGTTTGCACTTTAACATAAAAAGTGCGATGACTGTCGCAGTGTATATAAAGATTTGGGCATTATCAAGCTCTTTATTCAAAGTTTATTTATTTATTTATTTATTGTCAGAGAATTGTTGAAGATTCAGTGTGATGTAGCATGTGTGAGATAATTGTTTGACTTTCTATATGAGTTTTGAACCTGTTTGAACCTGCAAGAGTAGGCTTATCTTACTTGTAAATCTAAATCTTCTACAGGAGTTTTGAACCTGTTTGAACCTGTAAGAGCAGGCTTATCTAACTTGTAAATCTAAATCTTTGGCCCAAATACAACATTAATGATACTGAACTAAAAATGTCAGGGATAGAGGAAATCTTCAGTGACATTTTACTGAAGGTTTCTATGATAGAAAAAAATGTCAAAAAATCATAAATTAAGGTATTGCAGTGGAAATCCCTTAAGTAGTATAAATTGGGAGAATATTTTTTAAAAATTGATTTAAGAAACTAAGAAATATGTTAAATTTTGAATTTTGTTTCTTTGCATTGTAGTATTTCCTTTGGCACACGAAAAAGCTGAACAGCTATTTTCTTGTACCCTTAATAATAGGATGTTGTCATATCCTGACAAAATGTAAAAAAATTATCAACTTTAGCAGTCAGGAAGAAGACAAAAAAATGCTTAATAATGTCTGGAATTGAATATTTGGAATACCATTCCTGTATTAAGTGCCAGGTGACTGTTTTTAAAGCTACTAGTCAACACTTCTATGTTCCAGAAGAAATATCATGCAGTTGTGTAAAAAAAAATTTCGTTTAAATGTGGTGAATACTTTTTTGAGATAGTTTCAATTTTTGGTGTATTTAATTTTTTTTTTTCTGAACCACCAGATATATATGTGTAAATATGTGTATGTTGAGATTACCTTTATTGCCATGTGATTTTCAAGTCCACACTGTGAATATGAGTGCTTGTTTTCTAAAGAGTGCGTCAACACTCTTTAGATACTGTAACATTTTCTCTATCACATCAAAGCTGTGTTATAGATCTATGGAAACATAGTGTATTAAGATTTCCTGAATACAAACATAATGAAATGGTGATCACATTGAAGCGCACTGTATTAGTGTAGAAGCACTTCTTTTAAGACACTGACAGTTTGGGTCTGAAAAAGGTGTCCCTCATTAATGCTGAGAGAACGAACAGGCCAAACACAGTGAGTCTCTGTTTAAGTGCTTTATCTGTATCCTGGAGCAGGTTTCACAAAAAACTTAGCCCCCAAATTGATTGAAACTTTAATACCAATGATTTGGTCTACTTCAGTTTGAGTTAATTCTTTAAAAATTCACTTCANTATATATATATATATATATATATATATATATATATATATATATATATATATATATATATATATATATAATTTTTTTTTTGTAATGGAAGTATTATAGAAATATCATGTAAAATAGTGTGAATCAATATATAAAGTTGTTGATTTTTGACATATAATTAATTTTAATTCACTTATTTTGCAATTTCCTTGCCAATTGGCATTATTGTATTATAACCTTTGGGCTTATTTACTATTCTTTCGTATTTCTACAGAAAAGGAAATAATAGACTATGGCCATGGGAGTGGTAGTGGAAGCAGCACTGCTGTGGATGATTATTTTTCCAAGGAGCTTATAAGAGAGAGAGGTATGGACTAGTCTACTGAGATAAGATACAAAAATAAATTAGGTTGATAATTTTGAACATGATTCTACTCTATATATTGCTATAATATTTTACAGATTATATTAAATTTTAGTTTTGCAAAGTCTATATGAAAAAAAAAACTTGAAAATTATTTATTGTTCTCTAATTTATAAAGGACTCTGTGCAATAGAAATAAAGATTATGAAAAAATGCCTATTTTTTGTTCTTTGTAGATGACCCTTACTATAATAGGCCATTAGATGATCGGTTGTCCAGAGATATTGACCGGGGCAGGCCCAGGGAGAGAAGTAGAAGTCGAGAAAGAGACTGGGACAGACTACGAGATAGGGACAGAGAGAGAGACAGAGGAAGAGAAAGGAGCAGGGAGAGGGATAGGAGTAGGGAGAGAGAGAGAATCAGAGATATTGACAGAGGCAGAGATATTGATAGAAGTAGAGATCGGGATAGGTACACAAGAGACAGGTAAGATCTGACTTGGCTATCTGTCTGCATATATGCAATCGGGTAATATTTTTATTACTTTTGTTCTACCACTTCTCTGTGAACAATGTAGTGATGACAGATTACATAATCTTTTTTTTAGAATTTCTTAATGAAATGAAGTTTCTCTTTCCAATTTTGTGAAAGAGATTAACATCATGCAAAAATAGTGTAAATACTTTGTACAGGTAGAAACCCAGAAATGTACATTATCACTTGTTCAGTGTTGTATTTGCCTACAATTACTCTTCTATCCTGTGAATTGCTGAATGATGCATATATGAATTATATTATGATAACATTTAATGAAAAGTATATATTTGGACAGGCATGCAGCAAGCTTGAGACCACCAAGGGATCCCTATCCTGCTCCAGGCGAAAGAAGTACTTCTTATGGTCACCATTCTTCACCTGTACCCCATAGCGTAAGAGATGAACCAAAGCCAGAGACAGTGAACATCATCGATATACTGTATAACCCCGGCAGAAAGACCAGACCTGCTAATATTGTTATTATCCTGCGAGGTCTGCCAGGGTCTGGGAAGACCTATATCAGCAAATTGATCAGGGTAAAGATTTTACCATCTTCCAGTGCATGAATTGTTAATGTTCTCAGTCAAAAGGTTTGTGGCTGTGATTGTCCTTTGTCAATCTAGGTCACAGTTTATTAAGTCTCAAACGCTTGGGCTCTTTGAGTGCTTTGTTTGCTGTGTGTGTGTGTATAATAGAAGTATTCAGTTTTATTCATTTTGTACTATTTAGCTGGGTATCCTGTGGTTAGTAGGTATTGCTTTTCATTTTTAAAGGATATTGATCTGAATGCAAAGTTGGTTCTGAAAATATAGATATTTTTAGAGAGTCTAAAACCAGTTGAGCCAAAAGATGTATAATTTTTTAACTCCACTGAATATGACAGATTGGTATGTTTTTACATAGGACAAAGAAACTGCCCATGGAGGCCATGCTCCAAGACTACTGAACCTGGATGACTATTTCATGGTGGAAGTTGAGAAGACAGAGAAGGATCCAGAAACAGGCAAGAGAGTCAAAGTAAAGGTAAGAGGTTTTTTTTTCCAGAAAATTAAAGATGCTTTGTTATTCAGATATTTTTATGGTTCACATATTGATTGCTCTACTATTGAGTGGTTCCTACCTTGCCTTTAATCTTTGCCTCCTTCATAATTGATATTTTGTTTAAGTCTGATATTTTTTTAATTATATTTGCCATGGCTTCATCTCTATATCTTAGGTGATGGAGTATGAATATGAGCCAGAATTGGAGGAAAGCTACAGGCAGAGTTTGTTAAAGAGTTTCAAGAAGACCATAGATGATGGATTTTTCCCATTCATTATTGTTGATGCTGTAAATGATAGAATCCGATATTTTGAAGAATTTTGGAGTTATGCCAAGTCAAAAGGGTTTCAGGTAAGATATTTTTTCATTCCTTTTTCATTCTAATCACAGAAAATATGGTACAGAAAAAAATAACACATTGATTGTTGATACTGTTATGTTTTTTTTTTTTAAGAAACGTATGTTTGATTCTTACTTTAAAAAATAACCTTTTTATTTTGTTTTTCAGGTGTATATAGCTAGAATAGAAGGTGATGTTGCAACATGTGCCAAGCGGAACACATACAACAGAACACAAAAAGAGATACAAAAGGTTTTACAGGATTTTTCTCACTACTAAATCACTACTAAGTTATACATAAAATTAATACCAAGTGCTTTTGGTGCCAGAAGTTATTTTACCCTTTTTTAACTTAAAACATCTTCTTTTCTTTTAATTTTAACATATAACAGTCAAATTCATATAACAGTCAAATTCTGAAGACCAAGATATTGATTAAGTGAAAATGCCCAAATAATTCAAAACTTATACATGGAATTTAACAAATGTTATCCTTTTTTCTATGGACAGCAGGATAGCATTGTAATCTCCTTCAGGTTTAGGTAAAGCTTTTGATAAGTGTATTTTTGTATGTTTAAGCTTCTGGACAGATGGGAAAAGACACCTTCTCACTTTCTCAGGCTCGATGTCAGACCACTGCTTCAAGAAGGATCCATTCAAGAGGTGAGGTGGAAAATATTTCATTCTATCTGTTAAAGTAATTTTTGCCTCGCTAATTACAGAAGAAAAGTAATTTCTCAAATGTTTTTTCAAATAGACATGTTTTGACTGCAGCAAAGATATCATTATTTGAGCATAAAACACAAACTGTTGAAATTACTGAAATTTCGTTCAGGTCGAAATGGAAGATTTTAGTGAAGAAACAACCAGATCTGATGTTGCATCACAAAAGAAGGAGGAAGAAGAGGAGGAAGAGGAAGTTTCAGGGGTATGCCTTTTGCCAAATACTGCAACATTATCTCTCTCAGGCAGGGTAGCCATGTATTCCCAGCCTGTCTTTCCATGAGGTAGAGAAGTTTGTGTATGCCATGGCTCACAAAGAATATTGGAACTAGCCCTAGAGATAGAGGGTCACATAATTATATTGGAATTATTCCTAAAATAGTTTAAACATACAGTAGCTCACAGAAGTTTATTGAAAATAGCCACAAAAGAGCTGCCCTTATATGCACTAGGTCAGAAATATATTCCCCAAACTGTTCCCCCAACAGAAGGAATCCTTCACAGAATGTTTCCCCAATCCTTAAAGATCTGGCAATCCTACAACATAATTCAGAAAGCGTACCCTATTTTTCTTAGAAATATATGGGATGATGTTATTATTATTTTAAAGTTTTTTTTTTTTTTTTTTTTTTTTTGAATGGGGGGTATAGATTTAATATAAGTAGCACTAAACTGTGCCCAAGTGCTTGTATTTTTGCTTAGATCAGGGTAGGGGGATAAGAATTTTTTTCACTGATGGTGTGGTGAGTATGCAGGTTTTATTGAACATGTAAATTGGGTAAGGGACTGGGAGCTTAGAAGAATGTGAGATAGAAATGTAAGTATAACAATCATACTCGCTGTTGGTAAGTATGCTAGGTTTTTCACCATATCTATATTGGCAAATCAGGTAAGAGACAGGTAACTGAGCTTGTGAGGAAATGGCAGAGAACGGAAATGATGGTAAGTAGAAATTTAACTATCTTCAAGAATTATGAAGAGTCCAGGAATGCAGGTATTCAGGTAGAGTAAAATTGATCTTTTTTAAACCACATAAAGGTCTTTTCTTAGAGGAGGCCATGTTTTCCTAGACTGAAAGCCCCAAACAGTACCCAAAACAACAGATGATATTGGTTTCTCCTCTCTCATACATTACATTGGTTTGATCATCACTTATTATGAATGGCAACAATAACAATGGGTCTTCTTTTTACAAATACAGTATTTGATACTGGTTGCTGCTGGATAAATTGTTTAATATTATTATGCCAATGACAAAGCAAGCCCTGTCACATATTATACCCCATTCGTTCTTCGCTTATGTTAAAGTTTTGAGTTTGATATGTACAAGTTTGCACTTTTACAAAAAAGTGTGATGACTGTCGCAGTGTATATAAAGATTTGGGCATTATCAAGCTCTTTATTTAAAGTTTATTCATTTATTTATTTATTGTCAGAGAATTGTTGAAGATTCAGTGTGATATAGCATGTGTGAGATAATTGTTTGACTTTCTATATGAATTTTGAACCTGTTTGAACCTGCAAGAGTAGGCTTATCTTACTTGTAAATCTAAATATTTGGCCCAAATACAACATTAATGATACTGAACTGAAAATGTCAGGGATAGAGGAAATCTTCAGTGACATTTTACTGAAGGTTTCTATGATAGAAAAAAATGTCAAAAAATCATAAATTAAGGTTTTGCAGTGGAAATCCCTTAAGTAGTATAAATCGGGAGAATATTTTTAAAAAATTGATTTAAGAAACTAAGAAATATGTTAAATTTTGAATTTTGTTTCTTTGCATTGTAGTATTTCCTTTGGCACACGAAAAAGCTGAACAGCTATTTTCTTGTACCCTTAATAATAGGATGTTGTCATATCCTGACAAAATGTAAAAAAATTATCAACTTCAGCAGTCAGGAAGAAGACAAAAAAATGCTTAATAATGTCTGGAATTCAATATTTGGAATACCATTCCTGTATTAAGTGCCAGTTGACTGTTTTTAAAGCTACTAGTCAACACTTCTATGTTCCAGAAGAAATATCATGCAGTTGTGTAAAAGAAAATTTCGTTTAAATGTGGTGAATACTTTTTTGAGGTAGATTCAATTTTTGGTGTATTTAATTTTTTTTTTCTGAACCACCAGATATATATGTGTAAATATGTGTATGTTGAGATTACCTTTATTGCCATGTGATTTTCAAGTCCACACTGTGAATATGAGTGCTTGTTTTCTAAATAGTGCGTCAACACTCTTTAGATACTGTAACATTTTCTCTATCACATCAAAGCTGTGTTATAGATCTATGGAAACATAGTGTATTAAGATTTCCTGAATACAAACATAATGAAATGGTGATCACATTGTAGCGCACTGTATTAGTGTAGAAGCACTTCTTTTAAGACACAGACAGTTTGGGTCTGAAAAAGGTGTCCCTCATTAATGCTGAGAGAACGAACAGGCCAAACACAATGAGTCTCTGTTTAAGTGCTTTATCTGTATCCCGGAGCAGGTTTCACAAAAAACTTAGCCCCCAAATTGATTGAAACTTTAATACCAATAATTTGGTCTACTTCAGTTTGAGTTAATTCTTTAAAAATTCACTTAAGTAAAATTTTGTCTTTCTTGCTATAAGGCGGACACAACATTTCATACTATTAATTAGTTTTGAATCCAAGTAGACTACATTTTTTGTCTAAAAGTTGAGACCAATTTTCAGCTTCTTTTGTGAAACAAGGCCCTTGTAATTGTATGATATGGCTGTAATAGCTCAAATAACTATGAAATGCCATTGATCAGGACAATGGAAGCACACTTTTAATTTATCATACAAGATGTGTTACATGTGTGTAGCATTTCTAACTGATTAACATTTTCAGGGACACGCATAAGGCAGGCTTCTCCATATTACAGCAGAGAAGATAGCATAAGGATTTTGAGTCCAAGGCTGGAGTCATTTCTGTCAAATGATTATTTGTATAATTTGATTGTTTAGGCTTTTTTTCCAGGTTCTTTTCAATTCCATGGTTTATGTGTGAATTCTGTCTACCTTAAATTTTTACCAAGAATTTCAGGGAATTTGTATAACTGGAAGAATTTTACAGTATCTAACCTTTCAAGATATATCACTACATTAGGTATACATGAAGAGCAAGTGGGAATTAGATACATCTGAGGAAAGACTAGGTAAGTCATACAGACTATTAGTTTTGAGCTAAGAGTTCACTGATATGGTTTTTTATCCATGGATATATTTTATCATGTATCACTAGAATGTTTCAAAAAATATGATAAATTGAAAAAATAGTATTTTGAACCCTGCACTAATTATTAAGAAACACATAGCCTGATATTCCCCTCTGCAGGGGAGATGAGGAAAGACCCAATGTGTTATAACATATTACTGTGCCATGTGCTGTTCTGAATGAACTCTTATTCACATATTTTCTGAAGTAACATGCATTTGAATTTCTATTATACATATACAGTGTTGATCTGTACACATTAAAGTTGATATTTCGTTCACCTGGCCAAATGTGACCAAAAGATTGAACATAAAGTATTATGCCTCCATCCCCCCTTCCCCTTTTCTAGTCTTTCTGAAATAGATTTGATTGGGATTATCTTATCCATCTGTCAATTGAGATAATTGATGGTAGATGAATGAAGTGCAGACTCCTGTTATTGTGCTTATGAAACCCTACCCTGTCACAACTTAATTGGCGTATATCTGAGGAACTTGCGGTTGTTTTTATGACGCGAGGCCACGCAAACGGAAATGGAAGAGTTCTGTTCGCCTGCAGTTCAGCTGAATTTTTTTTCATCATTTAATGATTTACCCGATGATAAGTTTTTAGTAATAAAACGGCCTTTTTGTGCTGGCACATTGGGAAGATGGAATAGTTCATGCTGTGCAGTGAAAATTCGAACCATGCAGTAAAGACATTGTATTTATTTGGTGAATTCAAAAATTAAACCTGCATAGATTTTGCTTCTACTGAAATTAAAAGTAGATGAAAGAAGCCAACAAAGACACTCTAAAAGAGATAATTGTGGTAGGATCAATCTGCAGTTCAGATGGAACATATTCATTTCTTCTTATAATAAAGATTAATTTAATTGATTTTATATTATCCATCTATTGTTGTGCAATGTGCAACCTAACACTTAAGCAAGTGTAAAACAAGTATTGTTACATTAAATTTGAAATGAAACACACACCTTGCTGAATAAAAGAGAAGAATTAAAATAAGGCATTTGTTGATGTTTTCAAACCTCAGGCTCTTAAAAATCTGCTAAGAACAACTGATTTCTGTTCATAGTATGGATTTTTATGGAACAGGAAGACAGCATTGATTCTTTCAAGATGCTTCATTTCATACACATTTGTCATTTGTGCCCTTAAATGTTTTTACACGTGTCTTAGTTATACCAGGTTTCTAATTATATGCAGTGATGTCTATTTAAAATGCAAACACCTTCATGCCAAGCAGTATGAAAAGAGGTTTGAATGATAAAGATTTTGTTTATTTCTCCCTATAAGATCAATATATGGAGAATTCCAGATTCCATTAGTATCTTCCTTTCATATATTTCTGTTATCCCTAATAGAAGTAGCAACTGATTCTTGACAATTTCAAAGAATATGCGAAATAGTTTTGGAGGAGTACAGTCCAGGATTCGTGCCTTTTTTTTATTGCCCGTCACAGAAAGCGTCGCTGATTGCCCATCACAGAAGGCATCGCTGATAACTTAAACTGGACTAAAAGCACTATTTTTACTGGAGTTAAAGAAGGATCGTCATTTGTATCCATTTCAAGGAACTCAGTCGTGGTTACTTTATCGATATTTTACCAGCGACTTATAAAAGTGGTCTGCGGTCATTGTATTCAGCATTGTGAATTTAAAAGATTACTTAAAGTTGAATACGATGACATTGTAACTAAGTTCCCAACTTTGATTTTCAATGAAATTTCAATTCAAAATTTTATCAATTTTATTGTTACTACTCTTCCATCATGCATAAAAATTGTATTGCATAAACGATCCCCTTACACTACGTAAAGATCAGTTGATTAAAACATTTGTTTTACAAAACTATTAAAATACTTAATGTATGTTTTATGGATATTTGCCTCCACATTTTATTGCAAAATAAAACCTTTGTCACATGAATCTGTATAGATGTTATCTCATGCATGTATATAATTTGCATCTGTTAATATTTATATACTTAAGATGTGATCTTGCTTAATATTTTTAAAAAATTATCATGTTATTATGTACAAAACAAGATTTCCCTTACTTGTTAAACTTATAATAAGAAAGAAAAGTTAAAAGAGTAGGCAAATGTAAATATCAGTTTTACTCCCATTATTCATGTGGCCAGCTGATGTACTAGGACATTTTTCATTCCTTATTTTAGACAAACTGGATGGGCTTCGTGTGGGGAAGAGGAAGCGTGAGCCATCTCCGCAAAGGTTAGAAGACTACCTACAACTTCCAGATGACTATGACTCCAGAACTTCAAAGCCAGGGCAGAAGAGAGTGAGTATAAAATTTCAACCTCAGTTATAAAGTATACCCAAAGTCTGACAATTGATGATATCATGATACGTTTTTTGCATTTCTCTGTTGTAAGAACATATATTCTTTGGGATGGGAGGTGGGGTTGGTGCAAGGGACAGTTGAAAAATGCACAAATATGACTGGATTAGCCAAATCAAACATATATTTACCAATTTTCACTTAGGACAGTAATATTATAGAGACTAATGATGTGAATAGAAAACTGTACCTAACTCTATGGGTACATTACTTTCTGTTATGTTAGTACTCTATACCAGAGGGCCATACCAAATATGCACTTCTTTCATAGGTACGCTGGGCAGACATTGAGGAGAAACGCCACCAGTTGAGACGGCGTGAACTTGGCTTTATAGTAGGGCAGACAGACTGGGAGCGCATAACAGATGACACCTATGCTGACAGACTTTTGAATCAAACCAAGTATATCTAGTCTGGAATAAGGTGAACATATAATAAACACAGTAGACTGTAGAAGTACTTAATAATCAAAAAGCAAAAGAAAAATAGTGTAAATTTTAATTAATTTTAATCTGTTTTGTAGTAGTCTAACTGGCATTTAAAAAAAAGCCTCTGGTTATTTATTAGGAAAAATTAAGATATTAATATTGTTACTCACAGATGTAATTGTTATCATTTATTTTTGTTTATTTATTATCATTATTATATTGTTAAGCATTTAGCAAATTTTATGCCTGTTTGCAAATTCTAATGGAGCCTTCCTGGGCCTCTTGATTTCTAGTGAATCATGTTAATAAAACAATTGACTATTGAATCTGACATTGCACTGATGGACTTTGTGTGTCATGATATCTTTTAATGCACATCTTGTGTACTTTTTTGTGCTGAAATAACAGTGGAGATGACTTGAAAATAAACATATTACTTTCAGTTTGATGAAGTGTAATTTTTTTCAGGTGACTGGTGAAGAGATGTTTACAAAGTTTTCTAGTGCAGAACTTGGCACCAAAGGAAAAAGCTTTTACTTTACCTGATCTCTCTGGTTTGAGGAAAAGCCCTGGTCTGTTTTGTAGTACTTTGTAACTGGCATTTTAGTGTTAAAGATGTGGGTTAAAGATGTTAAAATTGCATTGTTAATGTTTTCATTTAATGAGGGGTTCCTATTTTTTAAACATTAAAAACAATTTGTAACTCCTCAAAAACTGTGAGAGAGCTACTGACTTTATTGATGCACAAAGATGTATCAATGAGGATATAAAAACTACAAAATAAAGTTCAAAGTCGGCTGAAATACTGAACATGAATGGTAATGATAGTTATAATAATACTGATGGATTTACCCGCAGATTTTGTATGTTGTATTCTTAAGCTTCCTTTCAGATTTATTATTTGGGGAAATGCTGTTTAACTGATTTGAAGTTTTATCACTGATAAAAAGAATGTTCATTTACAAAAGAAACAAGTGTCTTTGAAAGTAAGTCAAGATTAGAATATATTTGTTGTATAACAAAATTACCTAGTATTCTCATCATGTGGAAATATTCATAAGGGAAAACCTGGATTGTACTAAAACTAAGAATCTCTGTTATATAGTTGATTCACAACTTTGATTCACTTGGTATCCACGATGTTGACTGGATCCTTTTATGATACATTTTTATGATCCAAAGACATCAGTGTCTAGCTTACTGATGAAAATGTGACTTGTTTACTTATGTAAGTCATAAAAGTGGTATCAAGTGACCATTATTATTTTATGTTGCAGAATAACTATTTAATGTATACCTATGTATTAAAGTAAAGAATGTAAATCTAACAATGTCCAACTGTTAACAATGCTACGAATTAAAGTCACAAAATTCTCTTTGATTCTTAGTGCAAATGATTTTTAAAAGCATTTCAAAATATATTTTGGTTAATAAAGGCAATGCAACAAACTATGTAAAATATTCATGCATGATCCATATTGAAATAAAATAGTTAAATATGTAGTTTCAGTTTTATTGCCCTCACTGTGTTGTTTTTCAAAAATTATGAAGCTGGAATTGGTCTCCTCTTTATAGGGTTGGGAGGTATAGCCAAAGTTTTTAAATTAGCAAGACAATCAATTCAGATTTCTAAACCTTGGGTTTGCCAAGCTCTGTTCATTTCTGTAATAATGTTGCAACGGGAAAAATTAGTAAAGAAGCAAAATCAGTTCATTTGTATGGAATAACAGTAGTTTTATAGCATTACTGAATTAAGATAAGTTCAGTTGGAAAAAGATACATGTATTTTGGTTTAAAATTTTACAGTCAAATATAAATTGTTGCTGTTTTACGTGTTAAAACGAGGTACCAGTCTGCATCTAATGAGTTTCTATTCTATAATTAAAGAAAAAAACTTATGAAAATTTTCTTCAGCTTGTTTGTTATCAACATTTTAGGAAACTGGGAGATAGCTTTAGCAAGGATTTAATAATGTATGTAACTCTTAGAGATAAATTCTTATTTTGGAAACCATTCCTCTTGTCAGATGCAGTTAAAGGGATAATAACTCTTCGTTTCAGCCAAAAAATGAATTTTCCTGGAGTAAACAATTTTCCCATACTTACAAATGGTTAATGAATCCATTTTACATTCAAAGTTAGTCCCTGGTTTTTTTCTAAAAAGTTTGGTTTTTTGAGAGATTTTGACAGAGTATAGCCATCATTGGAGGTCACGTGGACTAAAACCAAGCTCAGATATCAGAATAATAGCTATAACTGCCATTTTTGTGGTAAAACAGATTATATTATATTTCTATGAGTTATTCACAATGTTTTTATTGTGAAATATAGTTCTCATACCAAGAGTTATTATCCCTTTAATCAAAAGAAATTGTACAGTTGTCTCTTGCTCCCCAAAAACATGACTTGCAGAGGGGAATTTGCCGACATTGACACTACTTCTTCAAATTTCAAAGGAATTTGGAACTATATTTTCGTGTTACAATTATTATTGTGATTACTATTTCTCTTTTTCGTATATATTTGTAATGCTAAAAATTGCTATAATTAAATAAATTCAGAGCACCACTTTAAGGGAATTCACAATGCTCAGCTAAGCAAAGCAAAAAAGAAAAAAAAACACTTTTATTGAAAATCATCATAGCGCGTGCTGAATTTTACATCCTACGGATAATAAATCGGAGAAAAAAATATTCCCAGCACTCATTCATAGATGTCGCACCTGTAGCGCCACGCTTCTGTTTTCTGCGAGTGAAAAACCGGGTTATGATTGACGTCAACCAGACAACCTTCAAGGTTTTCTAAGTAGGTCATCCTACTAAAATCATTGCGACAAACTCAAAACATAATTTTATCTGTCATCACCAGTGTGTGATACAGAATCACAAGCGATCGAAACTAGGACAACTGTTGACATCAGAAAAAGATTTTCCACGTTCTTTAGATAGTGTTATGGGCACAGTTGTAAAGGAGAAAAGAAGGTAAGTTGAAGCACTGTTATTTTCCAGATGGAAAGGATCGCATGTGGGTCACAATTATGGTACTAAAATATCTGAAACCGTCGAAAGAAATGGTGTAGATCAGTAACGTGTGAGGTTTTAAATATAAAGATTTGATATCGCGCCGTCTTACCACGTGCTGAAAGTCGACTAGACTGACAGCTGCAAGTAGCTAGCTAATGTCGTAGTAATGGTAATGGGACTATAAATTAAAGCAACTGTAATTAATGCAGTGGAACCATGGCAGCCGCGCTGTAAATGTATTAATTCATTTTAATATCGCAATTTAAGCCGGATTTTGAGCCAAAACACACCCCACCTTTTACAACGCGTCTGGCCAAAAATAAATGTACCCTTATTTGTTAAAACCTATTTATTAGTACATGTACAGCTTTAAGTAACACCAATATAGTTTAAATACATAAAATTTATTAATTTCCTGAGAATGGGTTTTAAAAAATAGATAAGGCATTTAAACATACTTGGAAAGATATAGAATGGTCAATACACCAATAAAGCATGAAGTTTGACATGTGCCTTAAACTTTAATGTCTCTTATTTATATTTATTTATTTATTTACTTTTTTTCGGGGGGGGGGGGGGGGAGTGATACGTGATGGTTAAATAATATTCTATTTTTAGACTTTTCTTAAAAAAAGCATTTTTTTAATGGGGATAACATAATTGCCAGTAGCAAACTGCTGTAGTAGGATGTAGATGTTTGACCTGTTTTGACCTAAGGGATCTTGACCTTGTCCCAGTCTAAAGTTGCAATTGTTTTATGCCCCCTTTTCCTGATTGTAAACCTATATCCTTACTTCAGGTAGCTTACAGTTCATTAACATGTTCTATTTTTTGTGAAATAGGTCTGTGGATCATTATGTAAAGTTTCTCTTTTTCCAATAATGATTATTGGTTATTTTTTTCTATGCAGTAGAAACATTGAACTGAAAATCTGCACTGAAGTTGAACTTTTACATAATATTGAAATGTATTTAGAAACACTAAAATGTATTATTGAACTATATAGTACATGTATGACAAAAATTTAATGGATAACAGAATTTTATAATTGAAATCATCTGAGATAGCCTGAAACGAGGCCCCCAGCTGTCTGACCTCTGTCTGAAACCAGAAAAGTGCAGGAAGCTGCTTGAGGTGGGGTTAACTTCTCTGCAATAAAGTTGAAACACTAGGCATTGGGAATGTCTTCTTTGTAAACAATGCAAAAGAGTTACTTAAAACAGAGTGAATGTGTGCTGGTATGCTGTATTTCAACAGAAATTCAAAGAACATAACTATTTAAATATTCACGGCTAAATTCTTTCACCCTTTTTCTCATTGTCACACTTCACTTGCTAGTCTGACCCAATTCTCCTCCAAATTGATAAAATCTTGCTTGATTTCTCACACAAAAGTGAGGCTTTGGACCATCTTGGATGTTTTCCATTGAGTATTTATAGTTGAATATGGAGGATCCTTTTTTATTACTTTGTCATGATAATTAATTCTGCCAAATGATTTTCTCAAAACTATACATATATTAGAAAATAATTCCTGATACAGATTTAAAAAAAAAAAAACTAAATTACATGTACCCATCACCATGACTGTGTTTGTCATTGGCACTAAATGTGATATGTATTACCTAGTGCAGAAGAAAACAATGCTTTCATAATGTGTCACAGACCATTAGCTCTCACAGAAGGCATTTCAGTCAAAGCTGTTTGCTACTGGATATTTACAAATCAACGTAAAGCTTTAGATTTTACAACTGCAAAGTATGATGACAAAATATTCCGACACTCAAAAATTTCTTGTGATAAACCTGAAATATAACTATCAAAATTCTAGACTAGTTATAAATTAGAAGGCAAGGGGGTATTACACCAATCAAAGCACCTGAACAGTAACTATGAAAAAAAATCAATATTTACAAAGCCACAATCCTGGTGATCAAGTACATTTTTAAGAATGAGTTAGTCATCTTAAAACAGTAAACCACAACTGGGGCCATAATACTCTGTAAAGTACACATTTTACTATGGGTTGTTTGACATGGCAAAATTAATAAGCTACACCTTTGTTGCAGGAAAATTCTGGTAGGTTGATGGAGAACGCTGGTAACATTTGCATTTGAGAAATAACAAAATAACAAGTTCATGTAAACAACCTGTTAGTTATGAAGTGGACCTTGCATCTGACCTGGAGTTTGTACTTTTTTCTTGACACCAAAATTTGAAGTATTTTAATACCCCCCCCTCCCCATCAAGATCAAAGTATAAAACACTAATGGTGTTGTGAAGTTTTGAACTTTCATGATTCCCAACACATTTATATTTGCAGGAGTGTGAAAATCCAGACTTATGTCATTTTATTAGTTTATTTATTCATGTATTTTACTATTTTTTCATGTTTGTTTGTTTGTTTGTTTTTTTTCTGTGGAGGCTAAGATCAAGATCAAAGTATCGAACACTAATAATCTTGTGAAGTTTTGCACCTTTATAATTGCCGTTGAAACATTTTGCAGAAGTTACATTACTGTATGATTACAACCAGATATGAGGTTGTTTTGATTATTGAACCTCGAAACAGACTTGCTCAGTTTTTAAGCAAATGTTAGGCCTCATCTTTGCAGGATCAGTTGATGATGGCCACTTTTTGTGTACAGACACTATTAGGGACAATTCCCAGACCCTGTCATACTAACTGTAGATTGATCTATCTCCGAGGGGATTTTCACTAAATTGCAGTCAACTTGAGTGGCTTAGATGTCTGTCACACTGCAAGGGGGTAATTAATTATCGTTTCGCAGCTTCAGTAGGTGTGCCTGACATCTAAACTGCTTAGATGAAAGCAATTTAGTGAGAAACCCCTCGGAGATGGATCGATCCTATTAGATCGATCTAGGTATGGGAACTCAGTCCTAGTGTTTAAATGAGTTTTGATTGCCCCTGTATGTTCATGTAGTGCATTTTTTGTTTGTAAAAAAGCAAGTCAGGTTTTGGTCAGATTAGCAGGAATGTACACTATATAGAAATCTTCATTTGCATTTTTTGTCTCTCTCCACATTTCTCATGTCTATTGTGATATCATCTCACTCAGTTTCCCTGCTAACACAATGGATTGGGTTATGTGAAGTGTTCAATTCTTAAACCATTTTGGAAGGATGTAGATGCAGTGATATGCATTGACAATCGGTCAGAAAATGATAATACTATACAAGCTGTTGAACTAAGATGCTCTGAGAAAATCCACCAAGCTATTTGAGCAGACATCCTTTCATTTATATCTCCTCCATCCAGATTTTGGGTTCCATTAAATAAATCAGTGATTAACATAGGTTGGTTGACATTGGTCAGTTATAAGATACCAAACTCCAATGTAATGTTTCATTTTTACTTTAACTAAATGACCAGGTTTATCAAAATGGTTATCTGAATGACTGAGTCGAAATCCATTAGAATGTTCTCTGTAGTTTGAAACTCAGCACAGTTAATTACGTTTTTTGTACTAATTACTCATCTTGTGGTATTTTGTGGTGCATGTATTTCTGTGTTCTGATCACCTCATGATGACTTCAATTCTGGTTTGGATGAATCCTGGGATGCTCTGATTTATTATATTTTAAGGGAATCTAGCTAAGATAAGTGGTTATGAAGAAAAAAGCATTGATTTCCTGTAACTTTCAGCAATTTCCCCCTTTATCAGTAAGATGAAATGTGTGTTAATCTGAATTTGAATTTAAGGAACCAATTATTTTAATGCTCTGAATTCAGCAATTTTCAGATTGACCATTCCTATTGTTTGATATTAAAATTATTGAAGTTTTCAAGAAAATAATGATTTTTTCATCTCTTTAAGGCCCTGTCATGCCTAGATCCCATCGACTTGAACTTTGTTGTGTAATGTTTGTTAAATGTTCTAGTCTTGCTGTCTGATTTACACATGAGCAATTGGTACTTATTTTCCAATTTTGTCTCCACTTTCAAATGGTATTCTAAGACCATATTTAGCACCTTGGGGGAATATAGCAGTGTAGTGTGAATAATAATAGACTTACCCATAATGGTAACTTGGATGAGCGATTTGCACTTCTCATGTACATTAGTTGCTATGGGAAATATTGGCATAAATCTTCTTGTAAATTGTTTTTACAAACAGATCAAAATTGTGCGCATTTATTTTAAAAAAAATTCAACGATAAACTTTTTAAAACATGTTTACACTTCATAGCAGCCAGTTCCTTGTATGACAGTTTTTATCAGAACTGTAATCCAAAATTGTTTGAACAAAATAAAGGGTTGAGATAAAAACAACCTGCACATTGCCCATTTAGGCTTCATGCAAATGAATTGCTCTATCGCCATTTTGACCTATTTTTCTGGTCAGTGAAGGCTGTGTATATTTCATTGGGAATCTTAAAGCTCAAAAATGACCATTTTTCTGGATGCTGCGGCCTCTTGACTAGTAGAAAGAATACCAAGAGATGCCTTACAAGTAGGTGAAGTTTGTTATTTGTAGATACCGGTGTTACTGTGAGCGTGAGTATGAAGAGGGTAAAGGTTCCCGCAAAGAGGTTATGACGTAAATATCATAGAGAGGAGAACGTGAGTTGTGGTGCAGTAAAGTGAGTCATTGCTCCAACTGATTTGATGAGAACACATTCCACTTTTTAAAGCTTCAATTCACATCGGAAGTTATACCCAGTTATCATGTGCCGCTCAGTGGTTAAAGCACGTCACAACAACCACGAAGACCTTGACATAGAATATTTTGCTGGAAAATCAGAGAAAACCAATCAGGATCAGGAAGCCAACTCATCCGTTAAAAGGTTAAAAACACTGTTTCTCAAGTTATTTCTTTTAACATTGAGTAACCTAGGTGTCTGACATATATCTAAGTTATCCAGAATATAAATCTGTTTGCATAATGTTTTTAATTTCCTGGTCTTGAAATTGAAAGTATTGGGATCCAAACCCTCCATCTTCAGAAACTTTGGAGTTACCACCAAGCCTGCAGGGAAAATGAATACCTTGTTCAGGTTTCTTATAGCTTTATAGTTTAAGTAACTTTAAAATTATTGTAATGTATGTTTGGTGGCTTTAATTGGTAGTTACTGATCTAAACTATTTTGTTTGTATATGGTTTCTGTATAAGTTATTATGTGCTACTGCTTTTACGGTTTTCCAGTGTATTGTGCGTGTATTGAGCAGTATTGCAGTTTAGTCAATTTTGATGTTTTCAGAATGGGAAATTAAGTGTTATTAAGCATTTATTAATGAGAATTGATGGGACGAAACAGTAAAGCAGGCATTGAAGGAGATACTAGAGAGAAATTTGAGAAAGAATTTTTATCATTACTTATTTTAAAGGTTGTAGAGGATACAAAAATGAAACAAGTGGTTGTTCCATAGGATATATTCCCATTTTGACTTACTTGTAGAGTTTGAAGTATTCATAGTTTTAAAGAAAAAAAGTTGTTTCAAAAGTTTTAACTTGTGTTTCATAGTTATTGCTGCTTAAAACCGACAAAATTGTCCAAAAATTGACATTCACAATGACTTTATTTCTTATCTGTTTATTGGGTATGAATAAAAGCATTTACGGCAAATTATTGATTCTGTTTTATTTATGATGGTTTTCACTGCAGTAAAATTTTAAATGTACATATTTATTATGTATTTCTTACTGGTGACTATATCCTGAAAGTCAAAATGTGTTCAGTTCTTGACTTTTTAAAATATATTTTGATAAGTTTTTTTTTTTTCAAAGTTGTATTGGTACATTGCTTAACTTTGGTTCATTACATATTTTCAGGGACCCAGGCAGAAGAAAAGAAAAATCACGTAATGCAGCTCGCGAACGTCGGGGAAAGGAAGCTGAGGTGTTTTCTGATTTGACCAATGAAATCCCACTGCCCCAGAATGCCACTGCTCAGCTGGACAAAGCCTCCATAATGAGGATCTCCATTGCTTACCTGAAACTCAGGTCTTTAATGGAGCAAGGTACATTTTTTGTTCTAATTGCAGTTGCAACATTTTTTGCCTGGTGTTGACTAATCACGTTCTAGTGCTCTCATTATCTTTTATCCAAATAGCCAAATGTTTACTAGAAAAAATTTTTTTTCAAAATATTTAATATCACATTTAATTGTGCATGCTAGTATTACCTTTGGGTGGACTTCTCTGCTTGGTTAATGTTAAAAAGGGGAAGTCAACTTTAACAAAAAGCAGGACCCTAATATTTACTTGTAAAAGACAACAACTAGACCCCTTCTGTGTTATTAAAAAAATTTGAATTTAAGCGAAGCATTGTGAAAAGTGGCCCTTAGAAGTATTTTTAAAATGCTCGACATTTTTTTTTCCTCTTGGCATGGGGCAAACATAAACATTGTGGCCATTGACGTAATTGTTACCATTTCGGCAAATGGAGGTCATAAACAACATTTCAAAAGACCACAAATTTCTTTAAGTCCATATTGATTTTATCTGGAAGTAAAATGATTTTGAGAAATTACTGTTTCTGCCCAATGGTCAAATAATGGCTTGGGTGAAAGTAATTGCCAAAAGGAAGAGTAGAAGAATCTGACAATAATAACAAAATGTAAATATTTACTAGATATTAAATATTGTTTTATACATGTTCTACCTTCATATTGTATTGGTGTTGAGAAGTGGATTATTTAATTACTAGTACTGATCTATTATAATTCAGAGAACCCTTTGAAGTATAAAAAACATTTTTTATATATTTTTCTAAAATATATATAGTTGTAGACACAACTTTTCTGTGAATTTTGAAATGATTGAGATTACCATGGCATGGCAAAGTTTAATTTATTTCACATATTTTCATTACCTATGCATAGTGTATGAATATTTTGCTTGATCCCTTTTGAAATTAATTAAATTTGGATAATTCCTAACCTCAGTCAAGAAAACCCACAGAAACAGATTTTATGCCTTAGAATTGAATCTAGTGTATCTGTTAGTGTTTATTAAGGATTGATGTACTCAAAAAAACATGCCTCTAGGCAATATATTGATTAATGCGTATAACTGTTACTATATTTATTAGTAAGAGAAATGACAGCTTCTATTTATTTCTGAACGTGACAGCGCTGTATCTCTTAGTTTGATCACTTCTTCAGGAAACTAACATATTGAATTACAGACAAGGTGTGTCTGTGTGTGTGGCTTAATTATTTTAATAAGGGTAAATCGCAATAAGGATATAGATGGAGTACATTTACTTTTCAAATAACCTGAATAACCTTGAAAAATGGACTTTGGATCATGGCTAATCTTATAGTGAACTCGCTGAAAACCCCGCAAGTAGAGGTGCCCAGCAGACCAGTTAACTAAAGAAATGTAATGATTCTGCACTTAATAGTCACTAATGGACACATTCCAAATGTTCCTATATCATGTATATAGGAGCAGATGGTTTTGAGCCTAAAATGTGACTGCCTTGCAAATCTCTGAGGTCAGTACATACGTACTGAAGGAGTCCCATCAAACCAATATCAGCAAGAGTTAATAAAATATCTGAATTACTTGTGAAAGTATTAATGAACTGATGGCAATTGTCTCAGTTGTCTTGTGATAGATATTGACAATTTGCCAGATGAGAATAATGAATGAAATAAGGGAATGTAGTCTGTCCTGACTTCAAGGGTAAGCAGTTACTTGAAGGTCACATTGCCGGTAAAATATGCCAAGGCTAGTCACATTTGGCTTCCTTATTTTGAATCAGCTTCTGGTGTAGGAGTTAAACTATGCCACTCATTACAGTTCTGGGTACAATAATTTGAATATGTAAGCTCCAGCCCCCCAGAAAAAGTCCCAAAATGGTTTCTGTGAGCCTTTTGTATTCAATATTTGGTGTAGATAATAATAAGGTCATTAATACTGTACAATATCGGATAAGTCACGTAGGCAAAATTGTGTTAGATGGGGCTGTTCAGAATCGGCCTGGGTGAACATTGTACATTTTCCTTATTCACCCATCATTTGAATAACAATTAATGTTTTTCTTATATCTCATCTTCTTGAAAAGTGACAATATTATACTTCATTAATTTTTTTCCTTGAAAGATCTTAAGGAAAATTGGTTTTTCAAGGAGGAAATGGGATTGGGGTGGATACAGACTGAATTGATGAAATGTTTAACATGTAGTTGTCATGGCAATTACATCTATATTTAATACCTTGTATAACAGATCTTAGTGCCATGGCACTATATTTGCCAATGCTGAGGCCTTGAAAATCAGGGTTATCTTAATCTTTATTTCAAATTCACGCATTTAATAAAAGCATATACTTGTTAATTTTAACGAAAAAAACTTGGATGTTAATATCTGAGAAAAGAAGATTTACCATAATAAGTATGCTGATTAGAATAGAAAGATATGATTTTCCTTTACCTGTATTCTAGGAGCTAAACCAGAGCCCCCAAGAAATGCCCTGGAGAAGAAAGCGGATCAATTATTCATGAAGGCTTTAGAGGGGTTTCTGATGGTTATTTCCAAGGAAGGTGACTTGGTGTATTTGTCTGAGACTGTCACCAAGTATTTGGGGCTATCAAATGTAAGTTTATCAAGATTCATTAATTTTTTTTTTTTTAATATATCAATTTAGTTTTTTTTTTTTTTTAAGATGAAGGGTCATCATCTTTATTTAACTCAAGTAAATCATTTTTCTAGTATATTTACTAGGTGCACTATTGCTCCATTTCTTTTTTAAATTTGATTAGTTTTATTAGTAATTGAGTAAAATTTGAATGAAAATAAGACATTGACTTTGAAAAAAAAAATGTATGAACTCCGAACTCTCTGTTTGACCTGAAAATTGGTCTTAAATATTGTTTAATTATTGTTAAATATTGTTAATTAATTTGGGCAATCAGATATGGCCACAGAATGCTTCTTAATATGATTTGATAATTACTCAAAATTTTCAAACATTTTACTTTTTCCAATAGTTTGCATTCTTAAGATTTATCATTTTAGGAAATCACAAAAATTTACTCTCTAACATGTAGCCAACTAACTTTTCAGAAACTTTAGTCAACAGTTTTAAGTAATGCCCCAAAAAAAACACACTTCCAGGGGAAATTATAAATGGAAAATTATGAATTAATTAGTTGGCAGGATGCCTGTACCTTACTGTTTGCTATCCTCAAGTAAAAAAAAAATCAATATATTAATGTTAAATGAAGTAATAACTGGCTGTACGTTGAATTATTGCTTTGTTTCATTATTGAATATCTAAGATGTTTCATTCGGCATTTCTGAACCTGTGTAAATGCCTCAAGCACACAAAAATATCATTATTCTTTCTAATCTGTCTGTATTTTTGTCTGAAGAGGCAATATTACTGTAAAGATAGTACACAAGTTATATGAAGTGGGTATTAACCTGTAGGTATTACCAGGTCTCCTTAATATATCATTTTTACGCATCAGGTATATATGTTAAGTGTGTCTGTAACAGCAGGAAGCCTTTTTATTAGGACCCTGGGTTTATGGCATTTGGAAGCATGTCTTCTGTCATGATTTGTGGTACATGATTCACAAATGTTTTGTCAGTTGTGTTTTTGGAAAAGGGAAATTTGTTCAACAAAGATGTTTTACTTGTAAAGGAATGCAAATACCATATGATGAAAGATTTGCAAGAGCCAAATATTCTTCTTGTTGGTAGTTAGCTCTTGTGGATACTCAATATTAGGGATATGATACTGGCATTTCCATGATGGAAGAGTAGAGCTAAGCAGAAAATTGAAAGAAAAAGTTGAAGTAATAATGCAAAAGTCACATTATTATTGCCAGTTACACAGGATATCATGTATGTGGAAGTTGCAGAAGTCTAAATGTAATGCCCAGCTTATAACCCAGCTGTGAGGAGAATAATGTACCAAAAATTTTCAGACAAGTTTTTACATTCAGAACTTGACAAAAAGTGTGTGCCGTTGTTTTTTTACATTTTAGTACTTAGATATGTTGATCATTCTAATTAATTTCACAGAAACTGTTTCTCTGCATGGGTATAAGTTCTAAGTAAGAACATCTGTTCTTAGTTGTCACTATTGGCAATACTATATAAATTAGCACAATGTTAAACTAGTGCTTTATACTTTGTCAGCATGAAATAGATGTCCTTTAAGAAAGCCCTCACTATCTGGAATAGACATCTAAACTTACGCTGAAAGTATTGTAAGACTCTCCAGGTACCTCAACAGGTGATTTGGTTGAAGCACGTTTAGACTGTCAAATAAGGTTCAGCTGTTTGACATTGCCAGGCTTCAGGTTTGGTGTGCCCTCTAAGCTTGCTGTAAGGATTGATTGCAGCTGTACAGAAGTGGGATACTGCTTGGCTGGCAACTTTTTAATTTAAACAAACAAGTCAATATACTACAAATATACAGCACTGAGTTTGTGGTTTAAATTTTCCAAGTGTGATTTTGCCCAAGTTTTTTTTTCTTTCCTTTTTTATGTAATGTGACATTAAAAAGCAGGATATATGGTGGATCTAGGTGAAAGACGTCTACAGTATAGGCCATAAATCTCAACAACAACTGGTTTTCAGTGTGTGTAAACGCTAAAAAAGAATTATAGCCTGGTGATACTTTCTCTTGATAAATTGTTTACATTTTTCAAAATGTCAAATGTGGCTTGGGTGGAGATTAAAACATGAAATGTATAAAAAAAGTTTAAAACAGACGTTTAAATTAATCAGACTTTTAAAGTTAAGGATTTATATTAAGTTTTATCCAAAATTTTTCCTCCTCCAAGAAATAATCCATGTTCGGAAAAGAGACCGACTTTGCTTATAGTTCTTTGTAGTATTACAGATATGTATCATGAAATTGTGTTCCTAATCATTTGATCTCTGGGCTAGATTGTGAGAATTTTTTTCTGAAGGTTTCATGCTCCATGAAAATTGTATTCAAAGGTAATCTGTGCACATTTGAAAATACCCCAAAGTAATATTCTTATGTTTAGACAATTATTCTGCAAAGCTGACTTATTTTTCCCAGTTCAAACATTAAGCAATATCACCCATCAAGTAAAAGATCCTGAATTTGATATTTCCTTCTCAAGTTATTTAATAAAAAAAAAAGGACAAAATGTCAAATCCAAGCAATTTACAAAATAAATACTTGTTAGGCAAAATATTATTAAAGTTTTGCCATAAATCATTTTCTAATTGAAATAAGAAGTTGTTTACAAGGATCAGTAAACTTGAAGTTACTTAGGCCTTAATGGTGTATATGAAGAAAATTGTGGTTTTGGAAATTATCCAGGATAGTGTCTGCGTGAAACCTCTGAAAAAAAATGCAAGTGTTTAGACGTCTGCGGTAAACCTGTCAGATCAGATTATGTGTGAACACTTCATTTTTTTGTTTGTTTTAGCATGCAGAAAAACTGATTTTTAAGAATTTCTTCTAAAACTTTTCTTCAAATTATTGGAAAACTGTTTCTTGCATTGGAACACAATTGAAATTTGAAGCCGAACATGAAACCAGGTTTATTTGTTTTGTCGTTTTACACAAATTTGCTGGGGTCTCTTTTTTTACCAGGAAATTAAGAAAAAAGAACATTGAACTAAAATATTGACACATTTGTTAAAGGGAAGTTAAATTGCTAGGCTATATATTGGAACTCCTGCAATATGTACTGAAGTGGCAGGACCACCTAAAGAACAAATTCATTTTAAGGTCTTTCTGCGTGTCTTCTTGCACGTAAAAGTCTGCACCATTGACTACAGGGAGCGGGCATAGAACAAAATTTAAACTAATGTCTGGCTTTCGTGTCAAGGAGGGGATGCAATATTCTCTCCTTCTTCCTGTCCATCAGAACAACTTTTATTGGAAAACTTAGTTTGGAGACTTTCTTCTGTATTGTGCATGATGGAGGACAAAATATTTGGTAAAACCATTGTAGTTCAATTTGAAAGCTCTCTTTAGCACATATATCTCCATAAATAATTAACAGAAAGAAATGATAAATGTTGTCCTTAGTTTTTGAACATAAATCATTCTGACATTTTGCAAAATATAATACTTGAACATGAGAGGTCTGCTTCATGTTGTTGCATTGATAAAGTAGACTGAGAAACCTCCATCTGCTTATAATATGTCAGCTCAGACAAGACTTTGAGGGGGACCAGCTGTCTCATAAAGCTCCCTCGCAAAAAAAAAAAACAACTACCCCATGAAGCTCATCACTGTAAGACACAATTATATGATTTATAGAATACATTGTAATTTTTTTTCAAACTGCGTCATCATGGACTTTTCTATGGAATTTAGCAAGAAACATAATACCCATGACATACACAAGGCTGTCAAATCAAACGAAAAAGGAGAAAAGTTGATAAAGTTGCGATGATTGATGAAAACGCGATGGACAACTACCTTTCTTTGCAATCAAGCCATGTAGAATTCAATAAAGCTATCAGTAAACTGGATTTGAGGACAGGGTACTTAAAATGCCTTTAAGTCCCTAAAGAATTACATATACATATCTACTCTGTATTTTGTGAAGATAATACCAGGCTATATGTTAGGTATAACTAACACATATGTAATGATCATATTCTTAAGTAATTGTGAACCTGCTAATTTAAGCATTACTAACTGAAGTAATGCATAAACTGTTCATTGCTTGAAATTTAAGTTATGATAGTGCCAATAATTTAATACAATTCAATACAATATATCATAATTTTTATTTCCCTTAGGTTTTTATTGTAACAATGGTCATTAGATTGATTGATTATTGTTATCTTGATTACATTCACCAAAGTAGTTGATTTTTTGTGTGTATTTTGTAGTGAAACATTTGTTAATATTTTCAAGATGTATTTTAAACAGAACATAATAAAAAAGACGCTTAAAGTATTATTTTTATTGTAAATCATGAATTAAATTAATCTATATAGTAATTATTTTGTTATCATATGGTGAAAGTTCTAGGCTAAGGCTAGGGAAAATTTTTTTAGCATAATCAAAATGCTGAGCTAAATCTATTAATTTTGTGAAAAATAATAGTATACTTTATATTTTCTAAAGCCATCTAATCTAGAAAATGTTCAGCATTTAGCAAAACTTTACCATTTGAAAGTTTTTTCAGGTGTGGGCATCAGTTTTTGATTGACAACTTGCATCATCTTTTTCTCTACAGGTTGACTTCATTGGGCACAGCCTTTTTGACTTCACACACCCATGTGACCATGAAGAAATGAGGGAAATGCTCCTCCCAAATTGCCATCACCTTAAGAACCCCATGGACAAACGCATTTTCTTCATGCGTATGAAATGCACATTAACAAGAAATGGCCGAAATGTCAACCTGAAGTCAGCAACGTACAAGGTAAATGGAAACATGAAGTTTATGAATTACGAATTCATGGCTTTTCCTAACAATTTCAAGTTTGTGTATGGCAAAAAAATATATATATTTGCTGATATGTCAATGATATGAAATATTTAATTTTTTTGCCATCTTTCTGTTAATATGCTTTAAAATATTCAAATTTGCTTAACAATTTAGTTGCTTGTTTAGATGAATTGTGCTTGTGTATAGTTAAAAAAGACTTTTTTGATAATTGTTGCCCAAATTAGTTAAAAGATATTCATATGTTGCTTTTTTCACATTTAGGTGATTAGTTTATGCAAAAGGTATATTCAGGTCTGGTGCATTTCAGAAGAAATTCACTGTCACAGCTGAATTGAATTGATATATCATGGTAGAAAAAGATCACTGGGTAACCATGTTTCATTTGGCTATTGCTAATTTCCGTTTCTGTGATCTGCATACCCAGTGCCATAAAAGCCATTAAAAAGAAAAGAACAGACAGACCATTGTATATATTGTGTTGTTAATATCATTTTTGTCTAGTGGAAATTCAGTAAAATGTGTTTAAGCAACTCCCATAGTAGGTGCTCACCTTTCATAAATAATTATATTTTGAGTTTCAAGAATCAAGAAGGGCAGCAATTAAAAAAAAATGCAGAGATTTTAAGAATGAATTAAAATATATGTCTTTTATATAAAGTAGCTGTAGTATATTTTGAATATGCAACATGCAAAGATTATTTGATTTGCACTGTGAAAAATTTCAAAACACTCTTGGTGTAATGTGTCTGATTTCATTTGTGATTTTTAAGGTCATAAAATGTTCTGGACACCTGATACCACACACAGAAGAATTGGCCATGAAATTAGGCTTGAAGGATGGAAAGGATCTCACTTGTATAGCATTGATAGGGGAACCTATACCACATCCATCCAACATAGAGATCCCACTGGATAGTCGCACATTCCTTAGTCGCCACAGCATGGACATGAAATACACTTTCTGCGATGACAGGTAATCTGAAGAATAGAAATGCTGGGCTGTGTACTGAACAAAAGTATTTCTGAGACTCATACTACTGTTTTTATCTGGCTTAGACTTTTGTATTGGAAAAACAGAAAAACAGCTCTGTCACAGGAAAATTTCCATGAAAATTTCAGCATTGATTGATCTGAGTTCGTTGTATTTGTATTGGTGACTTTTAGAAAATTAATACCAGTGTATCTGTGTCAGTTTTAGTGACTTTCAATTAATTGACCTTAACCATGTAAACCTATGCATATATCTTTTCTTTTCTTTCATCTTGATAATTACCAGTTAGTGGTAGTAGCAATTATTGCATAGCCATTTTGGATAATATATTTTCTAACTGTTTTTGAAGAAAACTGATCGTAATTTTTTTTTTTCAGAATTCAAGAACTTGTTGGATATGGTGGTGACGACTTGATTGGGAAGTCTGTCTATGAGTTTCACCATGCTTTGGATAGTGAAGAAATAGAAAGATCATATAAAACTTGTAAGTTGTTATTTAAATGAAAATGATCATGTCAGTTCTCTTTAGTTCTAAATTCTTCTTGTGTTGAAGAAACAGTAAGATTTTGAGTTACAAGTTAAGCAATTTTTATATTTAAAAATATTATAAGTTTTGCCTACAGTAAGAAAAAAAATCACAATTTGCTCAAGATTAAGCAATGGGGTCAAGAGTTGGTTTCTGGGTATTACGAACTAGAGAACCATATATGCCCAGATGACATCATTCCAGTCCAGGCCAGAAGCCCTTAATAGGGACAAGGATAATCTTATCTGTCCTGTATTAACAGTATACATAGATATCAGGTGCTCCAGACAGTGTCAAACAGCTATTTTGGGTGCAAGTTCGTATGATATTGACATCAGACCCTGGATGATAGCAGCAGTGTTTTTATTTGGAATCCTATCGTCTACTGCTACATCAGTGTGGGGATTATAGAAATATCTGATTCAGGAGGGGGAGGTGTGCAATTTATCATAAATGCTGTTTGTGATTTTGGCCACTGACCTGTCCTTGAACTGAATCTTGATTTATGGTTCTTTTGAGAGTATATTTATTCTCAAAACTCTGTCTATATAGTAAGAAAAGTTTCTTGCATACATGCTTCTTTTACACATGCAAGGCTTGCAACTATTCTTGAGCAATGCAACACATTGCATTAAGATGTAAACCCTTCAGAATGGTGACATATTGTGTCTCCCATTAAATTGTCTGTGGAACCAGTTAACAAGTGTACATTATGCTAAGGCATGGTGTGCATCAAAGTAGAGGTTAGGAAGTGAGAACACGTCTGGGTCATATAATATTCAAGGACAGACTCCAGTGGCCCATTTAGACTCAAGTTACAGGCTACACTCAAGAAGTAACCTCTTGGAATGCATATATGCCTATGTTGGTCCTTGTACGAGTATACTGATAAGCAGTTCTAAAATTTAACTTGAGTTGACTCAAGTGCACATACCTCTGCCAAGTAAAAGGAATTAAAATGATACAAATATTAGGTGACCTGAATTCATTTGAAATTCCAACCACTTCTTTACATCCCGAATAATTGTCTCTACTATAGATTTAATATTAGCGTAAAGTTATTTGAGATATCTTGTCTACAACTGAACAATTTTGTTTTTCTTTTATTGAAAGAAATGTTAAGTTTAAGGTTTGTTTCATTATTTTATTATCACGTTTACATGTATTTTTTTTTTATTATTATTTTTATTTTTTCCTTTTAGTGTTTTCTAAAGGCCAGACTGTGACTGGGCAGTATCGTTTCCTGGCCAAAGATGGCGGTTTCGTCTGGGTGGTTACAGAGGGCACTGTGATCTACAACAGTCGTAACCAAAAACCACAGTGTGTAGTCTGTGTCAACTATGTTCTTAGGTAGGCTTTTGTATGCAGTAAAAACAACAATTTAATAAGAATTTTAAAATTGGTGAATCCCACACACCCATGTTAGGTCACAAACTTTTCAAAATTATTGAGAGGCCCATTGTAAAATTTTACAAAGTTTTCTAAGTGAAAAAACTTATGTTGGTGGAAAATTGTCTTTCTACAAAATTTTCAAGACCGACTAAATTTCAAGTTTCTATGCTCATTTTCATTTTCATATAGTAATAGAGTTCAGTGTTAGAAATAGAATTATTCAGTGGTCATCACTTCATTACATTATTGTTATTTATCTTTTTCTATAAATCTGAGACTGCCAACTTTTTATGAATGATCCTTTAGGCCAGTAAGGCATAGATTTTATTGGGCCAGTTTTAAAGTCACAGCCTTGAAATATGCGGACCAGTACTTATTTTATACATTGAATTTGTTATGTTATATTGAATTTATGCCCATATGTGGAGCAGCTGCTGTGTCATGAAATTTGTAATTTTGTTATCTAGTTCTAAAAATGACACAAAAATATTTTTTTGTAAAAAAAAAAAGCCTACAACACAGAATGAACCAGAACAAAGTAAACTTTGTAATTTTCTGAATTCCATCTGCATAAAAAAATGTTATTTTCAGTGGTATACAGCAGGAGAAGGCCATCATGTCCAACTTCCAGAGCACTCCAGAGTATTGGCCGGTGGCAGACGTAGGCATTTCACGGAAAACTGATAGAATCTGGGAGCCATTACCAGTTGATGCTAGTGGCACAAAGAAGGAAACTTCTAGTAAGTGTAATATCTTTTTGTTTCTCTTATTTTGATTCTGATTTATGAACAGAGTTTACCAACAGTTGAGTTCCAATGTAAAGTTTGTTTTGCTTGGAGCTGGTTTTCTTATTTTATTTTTTCTATGATTCATTATTTTTTTATTTCCTTATTTATTTTTGGCATGCATTTCCTATATTTTATTTGTACGTTACTTCAAATTAAATGCTTGATGCTTTCATTGAATTTATCTCTATACTTAAAAAATCTTTTATATCCAACATCTATCAAAAATATATATCATAAGAAGCCGCTTTGGGATTAAAAGTTGTGTGGCTTTGTGTAAATGTGCTTCACATCCCAGGCTTTTATGCAATGCCTATAAAAGAGACTATATCTATACATGTACAGCCGGTATATCCATATATTTGATCATGATAATAAGAAAAAAAGAACTACAAAGGCTTCATGACCTTGTGAATTATTTACAGCACATTGTAGAAAAACCTAAATGTCCCCAAAAAGGCACATTGACAAGGTTTAAAAAATCCTTAAAGATAAGAATTTATTTCTAAAGCCATTTGTTATATATGAAATATAAAAATTGGATTTTTTAACTAAGTTAAAAGCAGTAATTTAGGAAATGGGCATTTTAATTATGGATTATGTATGATAAAAATTGCTTAAAACTGTTTATGTCCTTGAGAAGTAAGAAGCCCACTGTTAAGTGAAAAGTGTTGATGTAAGGTGATAGTTTCCCATAATGCCTTCAGTTCTTTTCTGCATTCTGTCCTTACAATTTTTAGGCAAACATTTGTATATTCACACTTGGGTGTTTTGATATAAATGATAACAGGAAAATAATTCTTTTTTTTTGGGGGGGGGGGGGGG